ATAGATATAATGGTGTAGTATCTAAAAGCAATCTTTGTATCAATTTACACAGTGTGTGTACAAGAAGTTACTTTAGATATATTTTTTTAACCAAGATCAATCAAGACTAGACATCCTTTTTTTTTGGAAATATAAATATACGTTTTTGCTACAATCTTACTCACTCTTGCTCACGCACTCTTACAATTATTCTTACTTATACTCACACTTTCTCTCTCTATCTCCCCATCTTTTTCTGTCTTTTATTTTGGTATGTTTGATAATAAATATAATCGTAGTGTATAATAGAAATTTATTCAAAGAATATAAAAGCATTAACAGTTAATACATATTTGAACTTATATTTTTAAATTAATAGAATATGTCTAACCAAAATGAAAGCTATCCCACTCGACGCACTCCTGCTGAGAGAGAGATGACAAACTCTCTTGCCATCTTGCGTCGTGACATGACCACTGTCATGAAAGACGTTGCTGATATCAAAGCAAAAACTTCGAACACTCCTGTGTCTGCTGTTTTGCAGAGTCAGCCGATGGCTTTAGTGCATGCTGTTGCTCCTGTGAGCATGGAAATGAATGTAGCTGGTTCTTCCACCATGGCTTCTGACGCAAAATCAGTCAACAAAACAAAAGCCTATGTATGTATCATACATATAGTAAATTATATCTTTAATAACTTACCAAGATTCAATAGAGACTTCTTCGGGAGCATTTGTGGGACCCTAAGTTCAAGTCAAAACATTTGGCTGAAATTCAAGCCAACAATGGCAAGCCAAGGTGGAACACGGCTGTCAACTTCAACCAGTCGCCAAACACTGAGCTGACAGAAAACCTCGTTGCCTACTTGGAAAGAAATTTCGTAGGAGCAGGACTGAGAAAAAGTGATGTTCGTGACTTTGTCTACACGAACTTCACTAGCAGAAAGCGTGCAGCTAATAAGTCTCAGGCTAAAAAGAAGTCAGACAATGCTCGCAACAGAAGGAGTAGCCGCGAAAAGGAGGTAAGTTATACTTTATTTATTTATTATTTGAATAATTCTTATCTAAGTCATTAATTTAAAGCAAAAAAAGAAAACTAATTTAATATTTTCAACAGCACTTGAAACGTCGCAAAACAGCGTACCAGTCTAACAAGACTGCTATTGATGACGAGATGAAAAGAGATTGCTCTGGTCTCATTATAGAAGAGGCTATGTCTGTTGGTGAGTCAGACGATGGCACTTCGCCTCATGTTTCTTATAGTGGGCTTCGTCTTCGTCGTCCAGGTTGGAGAAGTGATGAGGTACTTAGTTTTTTGAAAGTTGAAATATTTAATTTAGTTAATATATTATATTGTATTATACTGAATAAAATATTAATGTCTTTAATATAGTACAACCACTTCATCACACTTGTTGACAACAAAGTGGTAGCTGATTTAGGCTTAAATAGCCATCAATTGCTGTCACGTGCTTTTGGCGAAACCGTTGAAGGACCAGTCCCTGATGCAATTGCGTCACAGTTTCCTCAGTGGGCTCTTAGAAACGGGCCCTAAATAAAGTTTATATTTTTTGTTCTTTTTTTCTTCATTCATAACGTCCTATACTTTAAATAACCAAAAAAATGCATAAAGAGGCATTACTTGTTCTTTGTTTTTTATTTAATTATTCTCATAAAAAATCATAGTGCATAATTATTCATAAAGGCTTCAGGCATAGTATTTTTTTGGCATAGGAATGACCAGCATTCTTTCTTCGTTCATATCAGTTACATCTACAGCAGTTGCGACCTCTAAGTGTATGCGATGTACAGGCAAGATGCTGTGATAATTATCAGCAGAGAATTCTGGCAAGCAGATTGCAATACCTTCATCTCTGTGTTCATTGTCATTTGTCGAATTATACCATCGGATGTATGCAAAAACATGCTGGTCTTGATGTAATGTTGATGCTCGGTGGTTTGGATGAGGAGGCAGAGTAAATGAATGTATAAAAAGATACTGAATTTGTCCGGTATATAGGCTTGAAGTTCGGCCATTGCTGCTACGGAAGAAAGCTTGAACGAGTGACCCGCGCTTACCAGAACTGTTGTTCCCAATATATGTTTGGCCAAGGAGATCAATTGATTTCAATTTTGTGATTCGGTTATTTACAAAATATTGTGACAATCTGGCATCGTGGTAAGAAATGAGATTGGGCATGGCATAGGCGATTTTATAATAATCTAACAATTGAGGATAATCAATATCACTCATTGTTGATTCTTTTAAGGACTGTAAAGGAAAGGTGGATGGGGGGAGTGGTTCATTGCCTTTGATAGGTGCTGCTCGACTTAAGGATGAGTCTACAAATTGTTGCAGTCGGAAAGGTTGTTGGTTGGTTGGAGCATAAGTGGCATAGGTCGTTATAGGTGCGGTCGTAGAGGTAAGTTTTTCGAAAAGAGGAAGGAATGGAATGAGGCTTGGACATGATAACGTATTTCGTACGTAATCAGCTTTGTATGCGTCTGCAGTGAATTTTGTCATATAGGTTGTTTCAAACCCGTCTTTTCTGTTTGTCTTGTTATTCTTTAACAAACCATTGTATCTCTCAAAACCAAAGAGCCAATAGCCATACACGGGTCCAAAATCACGAATTGTGTCATGAAGATGGAGGTGCAGGTGCATGTTGCAGGTGAGGACTTTTGGTTCATATGTATCTTCACAAGATTGACAGAATTCTTGTAGATATCTGTGTGCTTGGTCTATTTCGATGAAACTGATTGACGGCTTTACAAGTATACGGCATGCTTTTACATAGTGCATCCAGCCATTGAACATATTGGACGGAAGAACTGGTTTTAGAAGCACGGGAGAGTACACCAATACCCAAGACTTCCACTCATCTGCTTTCATGTGGGAAAAGCCCTTTCCTATCTTCGTTTTCAGCTTGGTATAGTCACTGGGCAATATCATCGTTGCTGCAACTGTCTGCATTGCAAGCAGATCATTGTTTTTCATTTTTTTCATTGTTGTCCATGTTTCAATCATTCTCTTTGGTGTTCCCAGAAAAAGATTATGCATGGGATCAATGATCGTTCCACGTACTAGATCAAAGTATCCAAGGCGATACAACTGCGACCATCGAACACCATATTCGACCTCCAGCTGCTGCCTTTCTGAGGGTGTACTCGCACTATTCCACTCCTCAGCATGCACACGGTTTGCTCTATCACTTCGATGGCGCCACTGGTCACAATCAAATCCACGGAAATCGACAGAAGAAGTGCCTGGTAGACGAGAAAATTGATTGTCGCATTTGTAACAGGCGCATGTGCTGTTGTGCGCGGTGAACCCACTAGTCTTTCTGGCAGCAGGTATATCGCATGCAACCATCAATAAGGCTGCACGAACTGTTGCACCGTCTGTTTGCTGGTAGGTGGGTATCTGTATTCCAAGATAGAGCTGTATCATTTCGTCGACTAATGGCTTGAGATAATGATTGATCTCTTCTGATTTTGGCTCTTTTGGTCCGGGCATGAGGCCAACAAGGATTGTATTTTCTGCTTTAAACCGCTCACTTCTAGGCAGGTTGTTAATCACCAGGTAGATAGCACCGCAGGAATAGCTAGTACCATCGAAAGGCTGGAACCAGTCGATGTTTAATGTCAGCATCAATGAACGAGGATGCTCAACAAAAATTTCATTGTCATTGTCCTTCAAATCAGTCCAGGCTTCACCATCGTAAACATCACACAATGTATCAGTGATCTTGAATTCTTGGTTCCAGTGCATGATCTTTTGCTCGAAATCGGGACGGAGGAAAAGAATTTTAAGAGCACGTGTGAGAGACTGATATACATAAGACTTCTTTGCGACCAAACCACCAGACAATGATTGGACCATTAATTTGCAATTACAGGCGGTATGTGCACCAAGCTTTACGAAATCACAATTCAAAGGAGCAGGTACACTTTCCTCATACACCTTGTGGCAATCCTGACAAACGACAAATCTCTTAATCCCTTTTGTCATGGCTGAGAATCCTGTCATGCTTTGGAGACCAGAAAGACTCACGGGCAATTGGAAATCCTGCTCGTAAATCGACAAGAGCTTGTTGATGAATTCGATCAAGACAACAGCGCCCTTATTGACCACATAGCGGGAAGCAAACATTACCACAAAAGTAGCAATGAACCTGTGTACCGGATTTTCAGGCATATTTGGGGTGGCAAAAGGATCTATTGTAAAAAAAAACAAAAAAAATTAACACCCCCCCTTTTTTCAGATTTTTCTTTTTTGGTTCTTTTCCTTGAATTTTTTTTGGGTCTTTTTTTATTAGTTAATTAACACGGACTGACCTTCAGTATCGAATTCTTCGACTTCAATCTCAACAATATTCTCTTCATTGTCTTCACTTTCTTCACCGCCATTGCTTTCTTCGTCATTGTCATTTTCATCACCATCACTGCTTTCGCCATTCGACTCATTGCTAAAAGCAACCTCATCGTCAGAAATTGGGGCTCCTTCCCAAACAGGCGAGTTGGTCTGACCGTCCATTGCTTCTATGGGTCCGGTTTGTTGGTTTGATGTAGCTACATATAGAATTCAATTTTTAGTTTACTTCTCTTTTTATCACAATTAACGTTTCTTACTTTCAAAATCAATATCCATGAGATTTCTTTGAACAGATACATCTATTGAAATAAAACATTATATAAAATAACCAAAATGAAAATGAAAATGAAAAACAAAACATACTTCTTTCACTTCTTTCCATGTCTTCATATCTTGCTCTTTTATTGTGACGCTGGAGGGTTCGTGTAGAAACAAAGCTGTAGCCTTGTTGATTATCGCTGCATTTTGTGCAATAGCACTTCTTATTATAAAGTTCAGAAGTAGAGGACATGGTGTTTATTTTGTTATAAATGTTAAGATAAAAGGGAAACAAGTGTTACATTTACTTTATTTGTTCAAACTTTATAATAATAATAATAATAATGATAAAATAACTTGGATGGTTATTATATCCGAGCCAATAGAAAATTACAACATGACTTTATAAACATGTACACCAAAAAACATGCTGAGATGAAAAATTGCTCTAAATATCCACATGTAACCATGAACCTTCACACAAGGGTATTCAGGGTCATTTCTCCAGTGATGGGATTCAGGTTAAGAATGGTGGCATGGAGGATCGTTACAGAACCAGGAACATTGTGTGGCGTGAATCCATCAACAGACAACGAAATTGCAATGTCATCTTTTCCGGAAAACAGATGTTTTACTTGCTGGTAAACCTGGCCATCAAACACATCGGTTTTACTTCCATCCGAGCTTGGCTCATGATTATGGCAGTAATGCATATCTGCTCTTGTATTCTCGTTGGCTAATGCAAGAGCCAGTTGTCTCGCCAATGGAAGCTGTATCATCATGGCAGCAGCAACCAGATCACCACCCTCGGTTTCTCCGCGTCTTGTTTTGTACCGGCTTTGTCCACAGTTGGAGCACTCAGTCTGGGATGGACTGGTAAAGAGCATACATCCCCTCTGACAGATATCATGGACTGTCTCTTCAACACCCGAGAAACGCTTCAAAAGCTTTTTGCCAAGATGGGGAGTACATGCTCTGTATGTAATACAAGTTGATGTTTCCAAAATGCTGTTGAAATGCTTGACTATCATTTCATGAGCATTGCGGGAGATACCAAAATCCTTAATGATCTTGAGAAACTCAAGGTTCTTTGCATCGTCTTTGTCAGGGGTAGGTGCAGGCTGACTGAAGTCAAAAACCAAAGGAGATGTTTCGTTTTCAATGATATCCATGTCGTTGCCAAGTTCCGCATCATACTTTAACAAGGTAAATAATAATTAGCATTATATAATAAGACATATATATATATCTTACCATAGACTCATCATTGTCATCATTACTGAAGATATTTATAATTGGATCATCGTTATCTTTGCTGTTGAGTGTATCCATGATCTGATCTTCGATTGCATCAGCACGTTCTCTGCTTGTTTATGAAGGTAACAATATAATTAATTACACTTTCTAATAGTATGTATGTGATTTGTAGTCTTACTCGATAGTGTCATTCGAGACAGTGTTCAAAACAACACTGACTTGTCCAGGAACAGGCGTGGTCTGTGAAGTCTGGATATCATTATGTCTTCTATGACGGTTCTTAAAGCATTGAGCTCTACAACTCTTGGGTTTTTTTAAATTGGTGTGGCGCTCTTTGCATTGATTGCATTGGTAACTATCAAGGATTGAATTTGAAGACATTTTTTAGGTTGGAAATAAACACTTAAGAATAAAGGTATGAATATTGATAATTCCTTTTAAATAATATGCCTTTATACTTAATAGCGTTGAGATTTGTATAGACTTAATGACTACAAGTAGGCAATGACATAGATGATACAAATATAAACTCAGGAACAGAAGCTAAAACATTGCGTAATAGCTGTTATTAGAACTACAGTAGCCCAATAATAATATTGGTTGGACCAATAGATTAAACTCATTTATATGAAACTAATAATAGACAATAGAAATTTTTTTCGGCCTTTATCTTTCTTTCACAACAATCCTTTTTCTCAGGTAAACCAAACTTTCAACATGAATAACACAGATAATAATTCCATCTCTTTGCTACACGCCATGTACAATGAGATACTATCTTTGAAGACAGGCCAAGAAAAGGCCAAACTTGAAATGAAGGCACAGATCGAAGAGTTGAAGCTCGAAATGAAGACAAGCATCGAAGATTTGAATTTGGAGATTACTGCTCTCCAGAGCCAACTGGAGAATAGAAACATTTCCAACCAACACACTTCGCCTTCTGTCTCTGCCATTGTAAGACAAAAAATAAAATGAGTTGAATATATATTAATATGTCATTTAATAGTCTAGTGCTAATACCATCCGCAAACCGGTGAGCATATTCCGTGAAATAACTTTAAAGCATATCTTCAAGATGATAAGTGAAGACCTTGGCATTGAAGTAACAAGTAACGAAAAGGCCACACTCAATATGTGTACAAAGCTTATATGTGATGATATGGCTGCCCATCCTTCAGTGATCGCTCTTGGTCCTAATCCTAGCTGGGGGTCTATACCAGTAGCACTTAAGAAAGAAATGTGTGCCAGGCACGCAAATATAATGAAGGATTCTGGTATAGACTTCACTAGATGTCTCAGAAACTGGGCATCAACTGCAAGAGTTGCACATCTCTGGAGGGACCGCCATAAAAGATTACAGTCTCGTAAGTAATCCGGTGTAGTGGAATTGAATAGGATATTTTACTATGAAAACCTAGAATATTAAATAGTAAATAGCCAATAAAATGTATCTATAGATTTTTTTATGCTTTAACAGCCAATAAAATAAACAATATTATTTATTTTTCTGTCATAATAACCAGTAAAATGAGCAATATGATTTTTTTTCTGTCATAACAACCAATAAAAATGATTAATAAAAATGATCTTCTATTGTAATAACCAATAAAAATTTGTATTTATTAAAATGATCAAACACTTACATGTATATTATCCAATAAAAAACTGTTTTCATAAAAGTAACATTAAAAAAAAATTACTAGTGTCCAATAGAATTCCTTTCTAAGCTAAAATATTAAAGTAATAAATGACATTTAAGAGAGTACCCAATAAAAGTAATCGATTATATAATATACTTTATACAATAAAGAATGAAACGCTGTCCAATAGAAGAGCCAACAAAGGAGAATCAGAAAGCGGAGATCTGTAATATGTATTTAAACTCCAGGGGGGCAAAGTGGATATTTGGCAAAAAATCGCCACAAAGCCGCCTTGTCAAACCGCCATAAAGCAGCCATAAAACCCCACTTTTTTTTCCCGTAGTGTTGTATATGTTTTAGATGTTTAAGATAGTGAATATACTTGTAGAAGATATTACTGGACAACAAGCATCTAAGACATATTATTGTAGCTATTCTTTTAGTCAGAAATCAAACATCATTTTGTATAAATAGTCAAGAAATATAATTAATAAAAAGCATCTTTATTCTTATCTAAAAACTATTCATAAACTTGACAATCCCCAGTGGTATTGATTCTGCAACTTAGTTACAAGTGCCAGAAAAGAAATACCAGATCGAGACTTGACATGTTGTTCCTGGTCCAGATTATCTTCCAATTCACTGTAAATGTAGTCGAATTTGTTGTTTTCAATCTGGGTTGTTCTTCCAATGTTATAACGCAGCCAAAATTGGTCAAACCCACTGTGAACCGTAAATGAAGATAAAAGAATAAAAAGACAATAGAAAGATAGATAACTTTTATTGAATGAAATAACATTCTCTTTTATATCTTTTCTAAGCCTACCCAGCCGTTAGAAATGTCTGTTTTGGTTTCTATTCTACTTTTGTTAAGCTATGTGCTTTCTACATCTTTTGTAAGCAAAAGGAAATCACTTAAGTTGTCATTCTCACTACGGCAGGATGAATGGCAGTTGGGCCAAAAGTAGGCACATAACTGCTATTTTTTTTGATTGAAACCCAATAAAATCTCTGCCATTTGTTGTAAGATGGTAATGTCATTCGTAGCAATTTAAAAAAGTAACATGAAAACACTTTTTTTGTTGCTGTACAATATTTTCAATGCTGTAAAAAATGTTTGTAAGTTGTAATGACCACTTTGAGTATTGAAATATATGTTTTATTGAATATCAAAGATGTCAACAATTATTAAGATTAATAATTTTTGGAATGTGTGAACGATATGGTAACATAACTGCCATTTTTTTATTTTTTAAACTACGTTCTTTTTTTTAGATATTCTTTTTATCTTGATGAATTGTCAATTTGATTTTATTTAAATCGCGTAATGGCGTATAGAGAATATAGGGAATGAAGAGAAAAGTATAAGATGTATAGAGAATAGAAAATAAACCGGAGTATGTAAAGAAGAAAAGAAAGACAAGACATATAAAGATTAAAAAAAACATAAGAAATAGAGAAAATTAAAAAAAGAATATAAGATACAAGGATGATATAAAAAATATAAAAGATATAAGGATATAGAGCATATAGAAAAATAAGATAAAAATAAAAAGGATTACAGAATGGAAAGATTGCCTTTAGTAATACGCATGTTGTTTTTAAAGATATAATAGGGCGCAATTACATAAAACTGGTTTCCATTTGGTGGGTATTGGACCAGACCAACTTGATGACAAATGTCATTTACACTTATAACTGCATAAGTTGATTGCGTTTGGTGGCCTAGTGTACGGGTGCTTTGTGACCGTTGTTTGACGATAGGTACTGATGAGTCATGGTCAGCTGTGTCATGTTCCTTTATGACCTCCACGAAAGCAAGAAAGTGTGGGAAGCCATGGAAATCTACATGCTGAAAGTAGAACTGTACTGTACCAACAAGCCAGCTGTGAACAATTACATTACGGTTGCTAAAATAAATAAATAAATAGAATATAAGCAACTTTTGATTGTATATTGAAAAATATTATACTTACTTTCTATAGGGGCAAGTAAACATCACGTAATGGTTGCCACGGCTGGTCTCGTTTTTCTTTCTTCAGTACATGCATGAGGAATATACAGTCGAGTCCATCTACAGATGTGCAGCTACAACAACAACAGAGTCACCAAACTCGTGGCCAGTCAAGACTGTTGTTCTCTGGTAGTATTTCAATAAAGCTTCCTTCACACTAGGACCGCCTACACCTTCCACCAAATCATCGTTCAAATTAACAAACTGATGAAACGGCTCCCACAACTGCGCACCACTAGGATCATTAGGAAGGTCCATGTAGCTCTCTCTTCCATATGGCTTTGGCCGAATGAGGTTGATTTCATCACAGATGCTGATTGCCGTGCTGGTATAATTGTGAATCGCAAATCGCTTGATGAGAAAACTGGCGTTTTGGCCACCCTTTGATTTGGACTTTATCAATTTTGAGAAGATGCCAATTACTCTCTCCATTGATTGAGTGGAGTAGCATCGCAGGGGGCCTTGCTGCTTGATGATATAGGGTATATGGACCAGGTAATGTTGCACTAGTCGGAAAACACTACGAGACAGGGTATTGTTCTGGACTTTTTCATATAAAAACGAGTGCCAGTGCTTGAAATATCTATTATTAATATTTAAAAAATGATAATAATCAGCTATTTGTAATGATAATATATGAGACGTATAATAACTTACAACTCCATCTTGTTAAGCAATTCTGATGTCAGCGTCCATTGCAAGGCAAGCGTACAAACTTTCACAAGAGATAATAGGGCTGTTTTGACAGCCCTATTTGGTAAATAAGGTACGACCAAAGTGGAGACAAGGTATAAGAGAAAGTCAAGCCAGTCAACTGCGTGAGTACCATTGATCTTGGCAAATACGTTGTCAAAACTGCTTTGAAATGAGGTGGGTATATATTTTTGTAAGCTGGTGATGCAGTTTACAATTGTTACAAGGTCTGCTCTTGATATATGAAAAGGGTATTTGGTGGTATTGAGGGTATTGTCTGGATGGGTATAATAAAATTTGGTTTCCTTTGTGAGGGTGACAGTAATCAGGACATATACGAGCTTTCCAATCCCTCTTGCAATTAAATGAAGTTCATCTAATGCAAAAAATGATGATCTAGAGAAGGTTAAGAGTTGGGTATATATGCTTGGCTGGTATATGTTCTTCGACTATTACAAGCAGTTATTTAGTATGAAAAAAAGATGGCTAATTGAACATTTGTATACTTACAGGGTTGCCTACTTTGAAGTCTTCCAAAGGTCTTAACCAGGCGGAAATGTCATCAAAGTACATGCCATGTCATCTGTTAGTAGGGCATTTGCCTTTGGTCTCACAAAAATGGCAACCAAATAAACTTGTATGGGAATCAATGTGGGCCATATCAGCTACAGCTGGAATATCGGCAGAAGCAAGCCGCAGATAGACCTTGGATCTGCAAAGCTCCACTCCATTGTGCTTGACAACCAAGCCATGTGCCTCAACATCTTGCAATTCATTGATGATGGGTATAAGAAAGGAGTCCAAATGAGTTGGCTTCTTGGGGCCAGGCAAGACTGCCAGTTGCAAAAGGTATTTGTTAGTATAAATAAGTATTTTATTAGTAACTTTTTTTTAAAAAAATTGTAATAATAATAATAAATAATAATAAATTAATTAATTACCTGATGGATGGGTCTAGGCTGAATATTATGCAATGAATGATGGTATATGAGTTTTTGCCTTTCTTTTGATTGACAAACCCATCGGTATAAAGCCCAATATCAATATTATTGGGATTGGAAAACAGGCCCTGCTGCACCAACTGCTTGTAATTGTTTCAATCAAAAATGTCGGTTAGCTGACCAGCTACAGATTCCCAGTTTGATCTGTAACAGTGGAGTTCTCTTGTGGCTGGATCTTCCAACATTTGAGAAAGCATATCTCCAACTGACATAATTTTCATACTGGCGGCTGGTGTCTGACTTTGATCGGGATCAGTCTTGTATCACGGTTTGCTGCAGTCAACACAAGATTTCTGGTCGTCATTAATGCCATACAATCGACAACCACTAGAGCAGACATCATACTCATGGCCCTTGACACTTGACCTTGACTTGAGCAAAGCATCAACAGTTTCGCCATGACTGATCTTAGCCCCAGGTTCTAAAAAAAAACGATATCACTACATGTTAGTGATCTGGAATTAAAGTACAAGGTAACAGAAAATATAATATTTTACCCATCATTATATCGTCATGGTCTCGGATGACAGTGTTTATAAATTGAACAATGTCTCTATATGCTGCTCTAGCAATTCTATGCTGTAGCATCAATTGAGACAGATGAATACTCATCAACTTGGCCTTGGTAAAAGTATTTGTACTGATTCGGCTGCTGTCGTAAATGTGAGCTTCACCCTCACTGTCCTCAAAATTACATGCGCACTTATATGAAATAGTATTATCAAGCTCCATAGACTCCATAGTATATTCTGTAATACATTATTTTGTAATTGGAAAATAAATAATACAATTACAGCTCTTTTCATTACCTGAATTGCTAACAGATTCATCTTCATTACTAGTATCATTTTTGTCATGGTACATGTCAACATCATCCAGAATAGACTGGTCAATTTCAGTCATTGTTGCTGAATCTCCTCTGTGAATTCTCTTGTGGTTTTGCAGCTTCTGGTAGTTATCAAAAAACAAGACACATTGATCACATTGGTATTGCTGTGTAGATATTCTATCTCTCTGCTGGCTGGCGTTGGAAGAAGACATATTGGTTGGGTTGGTACGTATGTAATATATAAAATAAAGCTGCGAAGAGGATTTTGGTGCTATTTATTAAATGTAAAAGACATCTTTATATACTCTTTATTTTTTAACCAAAATGCTTGCGGCTCTTTTTCTTTTTCTCTCTCATAATGATGATATAGCAATGATTACAGTAATGTCAATGCTAGGTGAAACACCTGTCAGTAAATAATTCCCGTGGTTGGAAAGATTCTTCTTCATTAATAATTATGATGTAAGTTAAAATACTTCTTGGTTGACAAGGGGGTACCATTAAAAGAGCACCGGTGAAACAGACACGTACTCTTTACTTGTGAGTGATTAGATATTCTTTGGGCTTTATAAAGAGGTATATGTATATTTAGGATAATTAATGACCAAATAATTTATGTTTTTTTTTAAATAAATTATCAATTACTCTCTAATACCAAAGGCAAAGAAAAACAGCCTTCTAATAATTAACAGTTAAAAAAAAGTAGTACTGTCTAAACACATTGGTAGAAAAGACATATTTATATTATCTGTGTTGTACTAATAATATTTTTGAGATAGTGAATATATATTTAGCTAATAGCATTATTTTCTTGTTTATGTATAAAACTTAAAGAAATAGATATAGATAATGAGGGCTATAGTCTGATACTCTTTTACTGACATCATCAAGATAAGCACTACTGATCGAAAGGGGTGTTAATTGAAAGTGCCGATGTGAGTTAAAGCACACCTTTTTCAAAAATGTATGGCTTCAGTCAAAAATGCCCCTTGGTAAATAATAGTAATGACAGTTAAAATTACTTTTATCATTGATGACAGCATCAATCAAAACGCGTTTTAGTTGATAATGATAATAAGTATGATATGAACTTGAGTATCATAACATTTACTTTAATGTTGATAAAAAGGGGCTAATTAACTATATGATGTTCAGATGTTATATAGCTACTGTAGAGTATATTTAAAGTTATAATTTTAACTGGTACAGGGTTTTGTCATTGAGAACTTTAACCAAATTTCATGCTATATCTGCAATATGTATAGAGTTATATTATTATATCATATACTTTAAAACGTTTAATATGTAGACGGTGCAAAGTATGAACATTTATACATATAATATTGATTTAAAGTCTAATTCATTTTATCTTTATATTTCTTACAGTTTTGTTGTGTCGACACAAAAAGACTGTATCATGTTTACATGAGCTACTGCAGACAGGTGCAGACAGATGCATGCAAGTGCATAAGCATCCCTTCTTTTATATGTTTTGTTTGTACATCTGTCTGTATCTTTTTCATATAAATAGCTATCAATTGCTTGTAATAAATCGTTGCCTTTCTCAAACTCAAATTGCTCTTATTCTACTTGTCTAAACTATCACTTTTTCTTTTCAACTCACTGCTTATAGCTAAAAAAAAACTTAAACATGTCTAATATTAACACAACTCTTCTCAACTCAATTTGAAAGATTGAGGTTGATCTTGCTGACATCAAGCAAGAATTGCGCGAGCTTCAAAGGTAATTCAGCAATCAATTTGCACCAGCAGTCAGTTCGGAAGATCTAACTACAATGCAACAAAGCATTATTGAGCAGAGCTGTAAGTCATATATATTCTGTGCTTAGATATTTATTTACTTTATTAATATTGTCATACATTTTTTGTAGCTCTTGAGCGCATTGCCAAGTCTGTGAAAAGAGCCCAGCTCACAGAGTACCCTGATTAGCTCGGTAAGCAAGTAATCAATACTGGTGGTGAGTTCAAAGGAAAAAACGAAGCACAAAAATACAATCTGTTGCTTCAGATTCTTCACGAGCAGGACTGGAAGGCGTGCTGCAAAGAAGTTCCACAAAGGCAGCCTTTGCCCCCATTAGTCCCTCTTTCAGACCATGATTTGACAGTAAAAAGACTGCATCTCAAAACATTAGGCCATACAGTAAAGCATGATATCATTGACAAAGACTATTCTGCGGCCTCAAAAGAATGGAAGAATATCCCAGAGAAAAACAGGGAATACTACATGATGCATTTGGAGAGGTTGGCGAAGAATGGTGGATTGCACATTTACCAATGTAAAAGAATGTGATGTGCAAGAAGCCTTCTTTGGGAAAGCTTCAAGAGCAACAACCAGACGCACAAGAGAAGAATGGCAGAGAAGAACAAAGTAAGTTTATCAATTAACAAATCTATATATTGTAAACTTTAATTAACATTATTTCCTTTTATTATACTATAGACACAGCAAGACATAAGTGATTCTTTGCTTTCTTCTTCTGATATGTCAAAAACTGGTGATGTTGAGTCGTCTATAATGGCAGATGTGCTGTAAGTTATCATTGTTGCTTTTTCTCATGCGCTATTAATACAAAACTAATTTAAACTTCTTACTCTTTTATGTATATCTCCTCCACCCACAGCAAGTGTCAAGCCTGCTCGCAAGAGAAGTCAAAGATCGTAGTTTGGCTGCTGTGATTAGCCGAGTTTGATTTTTTTAGTCTGTCTTTAGTACATTTTTTTTTCTTATCTCGTCATTTTTCTTTTTATGTTTTTTATTTCTTTTTTCTTTCGTATAAAAGATTTATCGACCTCTTTCATATGCTTACTAATGTTGTGATTACAAGAATTTGAAGCTAATATACAGCATCTACAATTCTGCTACATTCAAATATAAAAGGAAATAGTATATAGCCTTTTTTTGAGAAAAAAATTAATAGTAATATTTTTGTACTGATATATTATGCTCGGGAGTCGTTCTATTATATGTAAGTATATTGAGTAGAATAAACACTTTGAGCTTTCTAACAAGATGCTCATTCCGGTTGTATGAATCAAATTCGAATTAGTTTCATGTTACATGACTTGAATCTTTGCTCAAGTTTTTCTTCTTCTACAATAACAACTTTCTATAGTACTTATGTTTTATTGCTTTTCTTATATATAGATTTTAAATATTAATACATTCTTTAATATATATATATATTTTTAGAGTAAATGCTTATTTTACTGAACAAGTAAGCATATTATATAAAGGTAAGCATTATAATAATATTATATCTATTTATTTATTTTAAGTTTTTTCTCTAATATTAGTATATTTGTAGAAATCGGTAAAAAATAATAAGTGCTATCTAAGATATATTAGATTACCCAAAGTATATGAAATAAAATTTGAATAGTAGTATTTTACTGCATACGTTTTTCAGTAGCTAAACAGAACCATTTTTTATTGTGAGTGGCCTATAGAATTATTTTTTCATTATTACTATTATTATTATCATTTTCATTTAAAAAAAACATGCATTGAAATAAAGATTCAATTCAATTAAATCTGATTCAATACTGTATAATAAAAAATAGACTATTCTGTTAAAGCTGCAAAGAAAAAACAAGAGGTTGTGCTAGAATTGAAAGCAATAGAACAAAAGAAAGAATATAATAGAGAAAAAGAAAAACACTTGATTTTCTTTGAAAAAATGGTAACAGTGTCTGTTTTGGCCTTATACAGAGTTATAACTGCCATTTTTTATTAAGTAAAAAATGGCAGTTATGTTACTAACGTGGTAACATGTTACTATTTTCTCTGCCGTAGTGATTTTATAAACTGATAAGCAGTTTCACATACTATATTTATCTAAAATGGCCTTCTGGCTTAAAAGTAAGACAGTTATATTTAAATATCAGCTTCCGAGTACTAAAATAGGTTTAGCACATACTAAACTTAGTAAGTCTGTGTCAGACTTTTCCAAGTTACAAGTATCAAAAAATACTTGTAGATTTTTTTCTACAGTATATATTGTCTTGCCAGAATTCTTGTCAGTCAATCAGAATAATAATTACACAGAATTATCTTTTGAAATTATCAACCAAAGTGATTTTCTTTTGCTCAAAAAAGAATTAGAAAGCACATAGCTTAATAAAAGTAGAATAGAAACTGAAACAAATATTTATAATAACTGAATAAGTTTAAAAAAAATATTAGAGTTGATGTTGGTAATCAAAATTGGGAATTGTAAGCAACCAGTAATGGTTGACTTTTTAGGATAAAAGATCTTGACTTTGCCAATTGGTCCTTTGTATATGTTTTAGATGTTGAAGATGAGGAATATACTTGTAAAGATATTACTGGATAACCACTATCTAAGACATATTATCATAGCTATTCTTTTAGCCAGAAAACAACAATTGTTTTGTATAAATAGTCAAGAATTACATTTAATAAAAATCATCTTTATTCTTATCAAAAAACTATTCATAAACTTGACGATCCCCAGTGGTATTGATTCTGCGACTTAGTTACAAGTGTCAGAAAAGAAATACCAGATCGAAACTTGACAGTCAACTCTGACAGGCCGACAAAAACAAAACATTTTCCCCAACGGGGAATCGAACCCCGGTCACGACGGTGAAAGCGACGGATCATAACCACTAGACCATTGAGGAATGAGATATTTGACATGTGTGTTATAAAAAACATGAGCGTTAGCTAATGTCTGGTGATGGGTACTGGACAGTGGGCTCCTTCAGTGATTTGCACTGCAAAAAACCCCTAATTTCACCTGTGAGGAATAGGTAGATAATATGATACATAGTAGAGCCAAATTCAAATCCACATCTTTTTTTATTTTTTAACGGCGATAGTAATATTATGGTTTTTTATTGGGTAATAGTCAAATGTTTTATATTTTTAGTTGAGTGTATACCTGAGATTTTTTTTATTCTTTTGTATGTTGTGGAATTAATATTATTTTGTATATTGTCTCATATGAATTAATAATAATAATAATAATAATATATAGATTGGAACATGAAAATCACTGCTAGTAAAAAACAATAAAAGATAATTTTATTTTCTATTATTATAGTAATAATTATAAAAATTAATAAAAATTAAGCCTTTGTTTCATTGTATGTGTATAAGTACTATATATTCAAGGAAGAAAGTATAACACTTTTAATATATATTATATATGACACTCGTATAGTAATGGTAATATAGTGAGACATTATCTAAAACATATGCAAGGACCAATCGGCAAGATTATGATATTTTACCCAGGATAAAACAAATGATACTGTTTATAGTCAATTACCAACTATGATTACAGATGTCAATTCTGGCAGTTTGAGATTTGTTAAGCTATAAAAGGAATAAAATAAACTATGTATCTGTGTTGTATCCAACATAATCGTAGATTTAAATTAAAAGTACAGACACTCAATAAATACGTACATTGAGTTACCGACAACTAGTAACGATACTAAAAGATATACCTTCCCTTATACAAGGAAATTACGTAAAGAACATACTAAGACAAATACTAAGACTCTAGTCAATAACACTAAAAACATAAGAACTAAATCATAGAAGATAATGGTAGAGAAACAGACATTACATGATATCATCATATCATCACCAAGCTAAATACAATGTCTATATAAACGCACAATACTAATAGCAATAGAACAGCATCTTTTTTCTGATTCTTTCACTTCTTCTAATAAAACAAAGTCTTACCGTACTCTCGTCTGCACTTGTTTTATTTTATATCTTATTTTTACCTCATACATAACAATCTGAATCATTTTTCTTTATTGTTAACTCTAAAAAAAACCAACTTTTACAAACCAAATATGTCTACCTATTCTAATATTCAAGTCAAATGTATATGCTTCGTCTGCTCTCCTTATGATCAAGCTTTTGAGATGATGTCCAAGCAGACATACAGAAGACATGCTTCTGCTGATCTCATTGAAAAGTTTAAAAGAGTTTATCTTTGTAAGTATAATATACAGCAACACTTTTCCAACTAGAATTAAAAGTCTTTTTTTTTGTGTCTAACAAAAATATGTATAATTATATATTACAGTGCCTTCTACACAAACGCTACATGAGCTAAATGACAATGACATGGAGATTGATGCCAAGAACAATGAAGTCAATGAGCAAATTGAATGTAAGTATATAATTTTATTAAAGTAGTATAATGGAAGTATAGTCTTTAACGCTTTTTATACCAACATAGCTACAGAAGATCTACCTGCTTTTACCGAAGATTTGTTATTTGATAGTGAAAGTGACAGTGATGATGACAGCATTGAGTCAGAAGCTCAGAACACTCTTGATGCTTTGGCTGATTTGGACGATTCTGAAGATATTGAAGGTTAATACAAAAAACTAAACTTGTAAACTAAAAAATATAACATATACTAATATCATTATCAAACAGAAAACTTTTCTTCATCTGAGATGCCAACTGATCTCATAAACGCCTTCATTGCCTCTTTTGCTGCCTTTTTCATATCAAAGTATGTTGTGAATTCCGTTGGTGCCATTCTCATTAAGTTTCTCAACAAGGTTCCTATGCATTTTGGACAGTCCTTCCGTCTTCCCTTGAGCTCCAGTGGCCTCAGTAATATGACTGGACTGAATACTATGATCAAAAGTGTTTAGTGTTTTGTCATCTGCAGTGAATGTCACCAGACATACCTTGAGTCCGAAGGCGTTCCTCAGTGCTGCAACTTCCAAAAGCTTTTGGAGGCTACATGCAGAAACCAGCTTTTCTTGTCAGCACCTTTGAACTCTTCTAGACCTAAGAGAGCATATTTATACAACTCTATCACCAGTGCATTCAGAATCTTCTTTTGTCACCCTGGATTTGAGGCAGCCATTAATGCGTGGAGATACAGACATCAAGTCCCTGATATGATGTTTGACATCTACAATGGTGCCAAGTGGGCGAATTGAAGGATCATAACAACAATCAATTCATGGCTCATGAGCATTCTCTTGTGCTCACATTGAACATCGATTGGTTCCAGCCTTTCAATGGAGTCACCTACTCATGCGGGGCCATTTACCTTTTGGTTAACAATTTGTCAAGGTCCGAACGGTATAAGAAGGAGAACATTGTCCTCGTTGGGCTCATGCCAGGACCAAAAGAAGCCAATACAAGTGAGATCAATCACTACCTCCATCCCCTCGTCGAGGAGCTCAAACAGTTGTATATGGGTGTGATGATCCCAACAGCCCAGTGTCCCCAAGGTGCTCTTGTTTGTGCTGCCTTGCTTTTGGTAGCCTGTGACATCCCTGCTGCTCACAAGACCTGTGGGTTTACATCCCGTGCCAGTATAAATGCCTGCCATAAATGCGACTGCCATTTTCCTCGCCTTGAAAAAGGTCATGGTGTAGACTACTCTGGCTTTGTATTTTCCGAGTGGGTCCATCGCACTGAAGAAGCCAATAGACAAGATGCAACAATGTGGAGAAATGCAAGTAGCGATGCCCAGCATATGAGGTTGGAAAGAGAGAATGGAGTTCGCTGGTCAGAACTTTACAATCTCAAGTACTTTAATGCAGCCAAGTGCACAATTATCAATCCAATACATAACCTCTTCCTGGGAACAGCGAAACGCATGATGGAGAGATGGAGGTCAGAAGGAGCATTGACTGATGCAGACTTGTCAGATATGCAGGCAGATACTAACAAGATGATTATACCCCCTGACTATACCCTCTGAGAAAGAAGATTGACAAGGGTTTCCCTTTCATGAAGGCTGACAAATGAAAATCCTGGTGCCTGGTGTACTCTCCCATTCTTCTGCGAGGCCGTCTTCTGGATATTTACCTGCAGAACTGAATCTGCTTTATCAATGCATGCCATCTTCTATCAAGTCCAAGTATTTCCACTGAGGATCTGGATAAGGCCCATTGCTCTCTGGAGGCCTTCTGTGTGGAATGTGAGATTCTGTACGATCTGGATCCCCTTTCGCCAAATATGCATCTCCATTTGTATCTAAAAGAGACAATCGTCAGTTTTGGGCCAGTGTATGGCTATTGGTTGTTTAGCTTTGAGAGGTTCAATGGCGTCCTCAAGAACTATGCTACCAATTGGAGGAATGGCTTTGAGGCCAATTACATGAGAAGGTACCTGGAAGATGCATATAAGAGTGACCTTGCTCATGGCATCATTCCTTGTATCTGCCCATCTCATGCTGGTCTTCTTGTCAAGCTAATTGGTCCATCTGTTTCCTCTGCTTCCTTTGCTTCCTCTGCTTCCTCTGCTTCCTCTGCTTTTGTACTTGATGATTTCATTGCATCTGCAAATGCAAACTTTGATATCACCAAAGGCAATGAGCCTTTACCGCCTTCTACTTTTCCATTGGAGCTAGAAAGGGAAACCAGTATGAAGGAATCCGAGTACTTAAACTTGTTGGTATACTACCAGGAGACTTATGATGACCAGGCCCTCTGCCATTATTGCCAGCCTGGACCAGATCAAAAGATGGTCAATAATCAGATTCAGAAAATGAAATCGATTCATCTTCTGGGACAGGTGTACAAAGGTGGTGATGGTATGGCCAAGCGCAGGTCATACATCCAGGCCCTTTTCCAAACAAGCAATGACAGATATATCAATGCGTATACTGGGCAGATACAGTACCTCTTTGTAAACACTACCACAAACTCGTTTGCTGACCATTTGAGTCGGCATGTGTTTGCATATGTACGGTGGTATAAAGAGACAAAATTGCAGCCAAGAGTTAATGAGGATGTTGAAGTTAATGAGAAGGATTTTGTTGCGGAAAATATTAAGAGTATTCTACCTGTGCATAGAATTCTTGTGGTGATCCAGACACTCGGATGTTGGATTTATCACATATAAGAACATATTCATATTGGGATAGCGTAGTAGCTATCATCTTGTCAGTATAAAATTTATATAAATGATTAAGTAATCAGCCCAATAATTATTACAGTTAGTACTGTAGATAATATCTTAAAGATTGTTAAGATAATTATATCATACTGCCAGGTAAACTGTGTCAGATCAATATGGAGCTAATTTAGTAGGAAGTCCTAAAGCTCTAGTATAAAAGAGAAAAGAATAGCTAAGAGCTAAAGAAGTATGATTTATGACTTGATGTCATAATTGTAACACCGACACTAGTTAAGCAGTAAATACACTCTAATAACCAAATATAGTAAAGGAAGAAAGCCTTAAGAAACTAAGACGTAATGACAAGAGCAGATTGTGTTTTCTTATAAAAAGGGACACTTTTTATTTATGAATAAAAAGAACTTATATACAGTCTCAAAGTATTTCTATACATCTCTATTATCAAATATTTTATTTTTCTATTGTTTTGTACCTGAAATACCACAATTCTTGTACCCGTGGCTATTGGAGAACACAGAGGTGCACAAGGTGCAATCAAGATGTGTGTTATTTCATTGTCTAGAATAATATTTATTTAAAATATAAAAATAAAATAAAATAAATAGAAAATACCAATTAAATATTGTCAATAACTTTTATATTTCTTTAATATTAATAAATACATATGCTTACTATATATAAATATCTTTTGTTCAGATATGTTTAACCTGAGAGTTTGATATATACCTTTGATAGTATATTTTCATAGCTTATGTTCTAAAATTACTTTAAAAACAAACAAAAAGAAAATGTATTCAACCCAAAGTCAATGTATAAACGATGCACATCTTTTACATTGTGGATTCATCAACAGGTATATGTTTGCACAATACTTGAAAAAAAGCGTTTTATTTTATTTTATTTTATTCAATTCATATCATTTTATTTACCCGGGTTTTTTGTTTTTATTTGTTTTTATTCCATTGAAATTGCCCATTCTGGTAACATGACAGTCAAGCTAGCAGGAATACTCTCAGTTCTAGTTGAATGGTTTCGCTCCAACAAACTATTTGCCTTTTTCTTTAGTCTGACAACAGAAAAGTCATCAACCGTATTAATAACCACTTGAAGCTATTTTTATAAAAGAAATATATAAGTAACTTGTCTTATCAAATATAGTGTTTTAAAGATTTTTTTTTCTATATGAAAATACCTTATCGCTTCTCCAGCTAGGACAATAAACTTGTAATTTTCCTTCTTCATCACTCTCGCCATCTGACATGACAGTTCTCAAAAGAACTCTACCACAATCAGATATTTTTATCAATGTGTCAATATTAGTTTTGTAGATCTGGTATGTTAAGACACAATGATCGTAAAGCTATACGTAAAATATTTTAAATATAAGGAAGTAAAATATAAATATACTTTTTACTTAAAATTCCAACTTACTGCCTTTTTGCAACTGTGTCTTTTTGACAAGCTTTTCCAAGAAGTTTTCTTACTAGGAGAGGATCTGAATTCACGTACTTGGTTCCAAAAGTGGTTCTTTATTATTCTGATAAGATCGCTTGTGGGAACATCAACAGCATCTTTCTGAATTCTCAGATAATTCACAAGTCGCACGGCAAGAGCATTGTTATATTCGTTCTTGAAATTATTTGTCAAAGACCATCCTACTCTTTCGTTATTTTCAGCAATTTTGGTGCGATCCAAACTGGTGAAATTCGGGTTTCTTATGTACCCATGGATGAGTTCCTATAGTTTTTTTTGTTAGAAATATGGAAAGGTTATATTCATTTTAAAAGTTTATATACTGATATTTTTGGGTAACGTTTTCCAAATAAATTTATATCTGATACAGTTGTATCCTCTTCTATCAGAGAAGCATAGTCTCTTACTGAGATAGTGTTTCTATTTGTCATGTTGCTTGTGGTAGCACTGTTGAGTGTTGTTTGTGTGTCAATAATATCATTGACAGCCTTTTTAAGATAGACATTTGTCTCATTTGAGAGACGAACACCTGTTTCCACATTATTCATCCATCTTGATATCTTATTGATTTCACTACTCAACGAATCGATTTTCTTATTGGTTGATTCCAGGAGCTCAAGAATCGAGTCTCTCTGACCAACATCAAGCTCTGTATTGGGGGCAGTGACAGCAAGAGAGACAGTGCCTGGAGTGCAAGCAATGTTAGTAGTAGTTGCTAGTTCACTACGTTCAACAGCACACATTCTGATGTTTTGGTGATGGAGAGGAGAAATGTGGCAATTTCTCATGTTTCTTTTATTGAATACATATTAATGATAGTTAATTATCAATATACATTTCAAATGATCATTTTGGATATATATATACAGATAATAAAATGAAGCGAGAGAAAAGATAGTTTGTTATCATATTATGAACACTATTTAGCTACATTTTATTAATAGTAATCTTTATTCAGTAACATATCTTTTAACCCAGTGAGACATGGCTTATCAGATATGAAGCTGAGCAGGAATCACTTTTTTTTTCTTCAGAACGGTATTTTATTGCCAGCATTTTCTCAGGGTCAAACAAACATACATCATCGCTTTTTTTTTCTTTTTTTTTTCTTTTTTTGACTTATTTATTTTGGTTTTTTATTTCTTGCTAGTGACTCTTTTCTTTTGTGCATTCTTTTTCTTCTTGTTCTTATGTCTATTATGTTCTTCCTACCATTACTATATAGCTGATCATCATTATACATTCTCTTACTTTTCATGATAGATATTATTTATTGCAGACAAAAAAGGAATAACAATATGATAAATACTCATCACTGACGATCTTATTTTATGTAACCCCCAGCAATCTCTGTTATCTTTGACATTGATGTTACAATCTATTATGATGGTAAGACTTTATCACATGGCCATTGTCTCTTTTTTCTTATCTATTACAGTTCACATAGACCTCTCACTCAAGATCTCTACTGTAATCAGCATGAACTAGTTTTTATCTTATTTTACGTTTGATTATTCTCTGATAAGTTAACTTTGACAATTGTTCATTATATTTTAATACTTGTTTGTACACAATACTTAAAGCTGTTTATTGTAGTTTAATCAACAATACTAAACCACGGCCACCAATACAACCAAGTTAAGTATAATTCATTGTTAAAACCAGTCAGTAGATCTCAACTAGAGAGTAAGTATTACAAAGAAAAAAACATTGGGTTTATCTAAAAAATTAATATTTTCTCTTTCACTCTTAGAAAGTTAAGTATACCATCAAGTAAGTTATATAGCTCACTCAAAATAAGCAAGAAATAATGCTGGTAATACAGCAAGAAAGAGTATCAACCAATACAACAAAAGCATACGAGACTCAAAAAAAGCAAGAATAGACCATATATATCTAGAAACTATTGATTACATCAAATGAAATAAAATTCAGCTAAAGAATATTATTATTATTCAAATATTACAAAAAATAAACAAACCAAAGAGGCTTGTTTTAATAAAGAAAACCAAGCCTATTCATCTGGTTTTATATGCAATAAAAAGACCAGTTTCCTCAATTCTATATATAATAAAAAAACCTGTTTCCTCACTTTTATATACAATAAAAAAAACCTGTTTCCTCACTTTTACATACAATAAAGATCTGTTTCCTCATTTTTGACTGTTAAACATATAACCCATTTCCACAATTTGTTTCATCCCGGCTTTTTTTATTGCTTTCATAAGAAACAAATCCAATCACCATATATCAAATCTAACAGAGAATTCTATAGAATTGGTCATCTCGTCATTTGAGTTTGTGCATATAAATTATAACAGGCCATACAAAACACTGTATTCATTAAGAGTAAAGTGCAGGTATAATATATTATTAGTTTTGCGCAGCTTGCTGAATATAAACTCATATACCTTTAGACTCTGTCAACCTATATATCTGATCATATACTTCATCGCCATAGATAAAAGTTCACTTTGTATCAAAATTAAATATTACTATTAATGGGGGAGTATCTCATCTTCTGCTTGGATTTGTCTGATATTTGAGCAAGATAAAATCGGTAAATTTTTCCAGTGATCAAATCATACTAGCTTCAATGGCTGAACCTGCTCTCCACTTTGCAGCTGTGAAAATAGTTGTAACAGTGAAAGGGAGGAGACAGAATTGCAGAACAAAGAACTTTTCAGACAGAAAAAAACAAAAGAGAAAGAAGAGATGCAAAGCAAGAAAAAAGAAATGAAAAGTAGAGAACTAGAAAAGAAAAGAAAAAGGTCTAAATTATATCCAAAGAGTACCATGTTCAGTCTCATGTGAATAGTCACCATCAGAATTACATATAATATCTATGTGCCAGAGAATAGTCAGCAGTAGTATCCAGTAAGCAGATCGCGGTTCTTGAAATGACAAAGGCAAGGATGTGATGGCAAAATCAATTCTGTGTATCTGATCTTGGTCAGGTTGAGGCAACTGTTCAAATAGTGCCACAGGAACAAGTGGACAATCCAACAAATGGCAGTGTGAGGTATGATCTGATCCACAAGGACATTCCTTTGGTTTGCCTGGTAACCACCCCATTCTCCAACGAATCAAACGGCCACGTTCCATACGTGAGGTTGGCAAAAACAAGATTGGATCAACTCCAAGAACTGGGCGGCATGCTTGAATGAGAACTTGCGTATTGGACTGGAGAAAGATTGCAAATCCAGCTTCTCTAATGCTTTCAAAATGATTTTTTACAGCACTAGGGCTTCAAAGTTTGAGTGTTGGAGGGAGATTGGACAGAAGATGGGTTTTTCCCAAGGAGACAAGTGAAGAATAAACGGTATGATGACGGTACAAAAGAGACAGGAGGCACTGGGCCGGCAAAAAGCATGATCTTATACAGAACTTGGCAATAAGAGCATTGGCATGGAACTTCATACTTGGTAGATTGCAGATGTGTTTTAACACAGTTGTGGAGGACGTGGCATGCCTCCAACAATTATGTGAAGACACTTATCTTGAATGGACTCCAGCACTTTGATATCTTGTTTCAGAAGAGTGGAGATTGCCAAATCATATTCAAACTTTGGGCGGACAAAGGTCTTATACAATCGTGAGCTGAGCAGCAGAGAAAAACCAGAACGACAAGCTCCAACAGAGTTTAGTGTTGCCATTGTAGCAAGTGTATCAGAACGTCTATGAGTGGCAATGGACTTGGAAGAAATACCCTTATTAGCAAAAGGAACACCCAGATAAATGAACTGGTCAGTGGCAGGGAGAACTTGACCATATAGAAGAAGAGAAACTGGCGAGCTTGCACGTGTTTTGAGATATATAACTTCACATTTGGTTGGGCTCCATCGATATCCAAGAGTAAGAGAGTGGTCTGCAGCAAGATCTAGCATGGTCTGAACGTCTGAAAGAGAACAAAAAATAGCTACATTGTCGGCAAAGAGCAGAGAATTGATAGGTGTTGAGAAATGAATATGTCCAAAGCCATCCACACCTGAAGGAGCAAGAAGAGCATTATACGCATCCAATGAGGTAGGAGAGGGTGATGGAACATGGGTTGTAGTTTGTGAGTGAGCAACTGTGCGGAGCAATGGGGGCAGGGAGTTGATATATATTGAATACAGATGTGGACTGAGGACAGAACATTGGAGAACCCCAGTGGCAGGTGAGAACGAGTGTGAAGAAAAGTTATCCAGAAGGACAGAGATAGAGACATTGTCAAACATGTTAACTAAGAGGCCCAAAAGGGCTGGTGGAGTGCCACGTTGTTGTAAAGCATGCCAGATGATTCGTCAATCTACTGTATCATAGGCAGCCTTGATATCCAGAATTGCAACAACAGGGTAGTGCTTATGACAGTGATAATAGGCTTTCATCAGATCATGGAGACAGAGAGCTTGATCCAAAGCACCACGGTGAGGACGAAAACCACCTTGAGCCACATCCAAAGGAGGAGAGTACTTGTGCAACTGGGGGGATATACACATCTCAAAAAGCTTACGCAGTACAGAGGTCAAGGAGATTGGCCAGTAGTTTGCCGGGTCAGTTGGACTACCCTTCTTGAAGATTGGGAAGACCTGGGCTTGGCGCCACAAACTTGGAACATATGACCATTGCCAGCAAACTGTAAATAATAAAGTAAGAATGGGTGAGACATATGTTTTTACAGGTTTTAGCATTTCAGCTCTGATATGGTCTGGTCCTGGTGCCTTGCGGTTAGGCATAAATTGCATGAATTCCTCTACAATTGGTGAGGTAAAGGGAGAGTCATCAGAGGCAAAAGGCACACTGTTACAAGTGGTCATTGGTGCTGGTGGTCGGGTTGCTGGAAGTATATGTTCACTATATACTGTTGCCAAATAGTCACACATTGTTGCTGCTGCTACAGCTGGTCTATCATCGTGCTGGAAAGTATGTTGTGGCTGTCTATGGCGTTTTAACTGCTTTATCTTTGATGTTGCTTTGCTGAAGTCACATTCCATAGACTGACAAAAGACATGCCAAGACTGACGTTTTGCTTGCTGAACCTGAGATCGGAATTCGGCCTGTGCATGTTTGTGTTTAGTCCACCAAACAACTTTGTCAATACCTATTGCTAGGCGCCATTTTTTGTAACATTGGTTACGACGATCTGCTGCTGTTTGCAAAGCTACATTCCAGAAGGATTTCCAATGATTTGGGCGAGAGGGTCGATGTCCAATTGAGCTATTTAATGAGTCATAAATGAGTGAATTGAACTCATCAGTGATAGCATCAATGTTGGGTCTAGTGAGTGGTGGATTCTGTACAATGTCTTGCAAGGTGGAAAGGAGGGAGGTCGAGTTTTGATTGAAGGTATGAGCATAAAGAGCATGGACATCAGGTTCATTGAGGCGTGAGAGGTTCCATGTCTTGCGTAATGGTGGTGGCATATTGGTAGAGTGCTGTAGATCATAGGTAAAGGAAAGTGATAAAAGGCAATGATCTGATCCAAGAGACAAGTCAGTAGCAATATGAAGAGAAGGATTGATGAGTGGCATATTAGTTATAAAGAGGTCAATAATACTGCTGATTTCATAGTTGTTGCGGAAAGAAATATATGTTGGTATGCAAGGTGCAAGATCTGCATTTACAACTGATAGAGATCTCTCTTCTATCCAAGAACATAGTGCCAGTTCACGAGAATTTGATGCATAGTTACCAGCAACAGAGCCAAGTCTTGCATTGAAGTCACCACAAAGAATGGTATCATGTGTTAAAGGAATAGAAGAGAGTACATGTAGGACATCATAGGTGGGCATATTTGGTGGAAGATATAAGCATACAATTCTGAGTGAGCCAATTTTGACAGCCAGAGCATATTTGGAGGGCATAGGTATTTGAGTGACGGCATAAGGACAGTGAGGTGATATGAGAACAGAAACACCCATAGAGCCCCTATAGGTGCCAGCTACAGGAGGCCCATACAAGTGAATTTGTGACCATGATGTGGGAAGATGTGAGGGAGAGAGAAGCCATGTTTCTGTAATGAAGAGCATATGTAAGGACTGACAGTGTTGAAGGGTATCTTGAATGGCTATGGGTTGCAGGCCATTGGCATTCCATAATCCGATATTGAGATTACTCATTCAGACATAGTGACTGATGAGCTGCGCTGACGTTTGAACAAAGACCCGCCAGTAGCATTGGTAAGAGTAGTACGTGTTGGTATTTCATCTTCACTGATCCACCCTTCCTCACAAAAGAAGTGACCAACTGGGATAGCAACGTGTGGGCGCAAGAATTGTAGGGCTTGGAGACATCTATCATGGTGAAGCATGGCAGCAGTGTTGGCAAGTTCATGAGTGGACAGAGATGCATACTTGGAATCAGCAACATTATCAGGATCAAGTGGATCAAATGCGTCCAAAATCTCAACAGAAGCAGTTGTCAGTTTGGCCTTAAATGTATCAGCATACTGGACATGAACAAGGATGCCAATGACACCTTTGGCTGGGAAGTTAGTGTCCAAAAGTCGAGAAGAATCCACACCAGCCTTCTTGGCTCAGTTGGCAGAGCGTCTGCCTAGTAAGCAGAAGGTCGCCAGTTCAATTCTGGCAGAAGGCATTCCTTTTCTCTCGCTGTAGAAAAAATCTTTAAATATAGAGGTTTGTGCAATTTTTATAAAATTCAAAAGGAATAGTTTGTTTTGTCAAAGTTGACATCGGTGACCAAAATCGGAAGTTACAAGCAATCAGTAACAGTTGACTTTTTAAAATAAAAGATCTTGACTTCGCTGATTGGTCTTTTGTCTATGTTTTAGATGTTGTATATGAGAAATATACTTGTAGAGATATTACTGTATAACCACCATCTAAGACATATTATTGTTGCTATTGTTTTATCAAAACAACAATCGTTTTGTATAAATAGTTCAGAATTACATTTAATAAAAATCTTTTTTATTTTTATCTAAAAACTATTCTTTAAAAACTTAATAATTCCTAGTGATATTGATTCTGTGACTTAGTTACAAGTGCCAGAAAAGAGATATCAGATTGAGACTTGACAATCAATTGCTAACTAATACACTATAGGAAATATCAGAGTTTATGCCTCCAACCTTGCACTGAGTTACTATTATAGAACAAAATCTATGAATATTTTTTGATACTCATAACTTGAAAAGGTCCAACATGCACTTACTAAGTTTAGTATGTGCTAAGTCTATTTTAATATTCAGAGACTGACATTAAAGTATGATTGTTTTGCTTTTAAACCAGAAGGCTGTTTTAGATGAATATAGTATGCGAAACTGCTTATCAGACTGCAAAATTGAGAAAAGAACATATATGGTCTACAGATTACTTATATTTTTAATCTCAACTTAAAGAAGCCTTTGCCACTAAAAAGTAATGACTGTGATTACTTTTTAATGCATTATTGTTTTTTATTTTTTAAAAGTCTTTTTTAATTCTACTTTTCACAAGGTCTAAATTATTAAATGTCTCTAAAAAGAAGATACTTAATACCTATGAAGGCTAGTATTAATAAAATATGAATCAGTAAAGTTGACAAACAAAAGTAACTTAAGAAGAATTGACAAAAAAATATCTGCATCAAATACAATTTGGTTGTCAAGATTGCTTGTATACTAATTAGAGATCTTGATAGATTTTGAGAATTGCAAGGAATCTGTCTTCTGTTTTTTTAAAAAGTAGGAATCAGGCATAACAATGTTAACACAAAGCAGATTTATACTCTTCAATTAAAAGAATCAATTAAGAAATATACATGTCTTCATCAATATCATAGTACTTAGTAAATAGTTTTTTTAAATAAAACAGTAAAAAGTATTACATAAAAATAGTCATATTTATATTATTTATTGAATGAATAGCTTAGGCTGCTACTAAATATCATAAAAATTAGTACTTCTTCTTTGCATACTTCTTTATGTTTAACTTGTATTATTTTGATCAATAAAAACCAAAAAAATCAATATAAAACATTATGCATTTGTTAAACAAATCATAAAGAAAATACTGTAATAACTATATGGAGTTATGTAGAGATACAAGGCTAGTTTTGGCAACTAGGCTTGGGAGACAAAGATTATGAACTTAAAAAAGATAGTTTTTATTAATAGCAATTGAGCAAGTACTTATACTAAATATTGAGAGATAGAGAAGCTAGAGATAGGATATATTGTAGTATACATAAGCTTATGCATACCACAACAGTATAAGACAGAGACAGAGACAGAGACAGAGACAGAAACAAAATGACGCAGAGAGGTGATCCATGCATTGAGAGATGCAGACAATGAAAACGCCAGAGTACTAGTTATGGCTGGAATATGGGCGGGGTTATCCTTAGACACAACATCCAAGTGGTTTAGTGGTGGCCACAATGGAGGGGGACGGTGCTAGTGGCTGGTGGTAGGCTTTGAGGCGTTGAGCGTGGACATGTTGGAGCTTTCTGGTCAAACAACCCATTTCTGAGCAGAGGGTATACCAATCGTCTTGAATTTATTGGATGGTATATGGTCCTTTCCAGGTGCGAGTTAATTTCTCTGATCGACCTTGGCAAGAGAGTGGCTTTGTGAACAGCAATACTTGTTGATTGACTTCAAAGGTTGGTGCCTTAAAGAGCTCGTTGAGGTGGAGAGCATTGGCTGCCTGACTTTCCAAATTCCTCAGCTGGACAAGGTTGATGGCTGATGCCAAGGTGGCACTCATGGTAGAGGCGTAGTCTTGAGTTGTTTGAGTGTAAGGTACTTGGTCCAGAGTCGTGGGAAGCCTGGGTTCTCACCCATGTGCCAATGAAAAGGGCGTGACCTTGGTGGACTGGTGGACCAATGAGTTGTACACCAACTGGAGTAAGCCAAGGTGGTGGTCCCATGTAGAATGCGCTGACGCCTAGTCCAAGAATGAAACGATCATGTTTCTAAGGGTGCTTATAAATCGTTCTACCATCCCGTTTGATTGGTGATGATACGCAGGGGCAAATCGTTAGGAGATCTCCTATTGCATAGTCATAGTACTTAATAGTTGGGAAGAGAAAGGTTGTCCATTGTTGGATTGGATAATGCGAAGAATACCATGTTCAGCAAAAATGCAAGGCGTGAGGGCAGCAGTCACTGTTGCTTTGTGCAGCCCCATGATTGGGATGAGCACTACATAGTGTGAAAAAAGGCACTGGACTACCAAGATGTATTGATGGTCTTGCAGACTTAGTGGCAATGGACCAAACACATCAATGGCAATATCATCAAAGGGCGCTTGAGCAGGTTCTTGTGTCAATATTGCAGTTTGACCTACTGTATGGCGGGGTGACTTTGTGAGCTGGCAGACTTCACAAGCAAGGACTTCTTGGATGACCCATTGTCATAGATTTGGGAACCAGAACAACCATTGGAACCACTGCAAAGTGCGTGAGAGGCCTAGATGTCCAGCTGATGATATGCCATGCAGAAGGTGGAAAATCTTTTGTTGTAGTGACAAGGGAAGAACTGGTTGAGAGCCATGGAAGAGTAGTCCCCGAGCTAAGAAAAATGGTGCTTCTAGGGTTTCCCTTGATGTCTGCGTCAAACAAGTTGGATCTGAAGCTTGGGCAGTGAGTAGTTCATCAACACCAATTGCGTTTATGGTGGAGAAGTATGACAGTGCGTCCATTCCAGAGTTCTTCTTACCCGGTTGGTATACGATAGTAAAGCTGTGACCTTGTAAGAGGAGGGCCCAGTGAGCCAGCCGTCTTTGGAGGTCTGGGGTTTTGAAGAGGAACTGCAGGGCCTGATGGTCGGTGACAACTGTGAAGTGGGTACCAGTTAAGTAGTGCGCAAACTTCTTTATACCCCACATGATGGCAAGAGCCTTGATTTCTGTGATGCCATAGTTTTGTTCTGCAGGGGACAGATACTGGGAGGCAAAGGAGATGGCGTGGGGGCGAGACAACACTGATTCCCATTGGGAGAGTATCACTCCAATGCCTGCAGTACAGGCTTCATCCATGTGTAATTCAAATGGACGGCCAAAGTCTGGAAATCGGAACACTGGAGCAGTGAGTAAGGCTGACCAAAGAACAGACGTGACAGATGCATGCAAAGTTGTCCAGGTCCAGGTGGTATCATTGGCAAGAAGGGTGTTAAGCGGTGTGGTCAGTTGGGAGAACTGAGGTATGAAACAGTGATAGTACCCACAGAGGCCAATGAAGGAACACAGGGAATCAACATCTGACAGAGTTGAGGAGGCAACTGCCTTAATCTTGTCTGGGTCGGTTTTCAGGCCAGTGGCAGTGATGACATACCCAAGGTACTTGACTTCAGGGCAAGCAAATTGACATTTTTTGAGATTCACTGTTAAGGAAGCCAAGTGCAGCCAAGTGAAAACTGCCTTGAGGTCGAGAAGGTGTTGTTGGAACAATGGTGAAAAAATAATGATGTCGTCTAAATAGATGATACACAGTTGCCACTTGAGGCCAGCCAAGAGAGCATCCATCAACCTTTGCATTGTTGCTGGTGCATTTGACAATCCAAACAACATCTGGACAAACTCAAACAGCCCCTTCTGGCATACAAATGCAGAGCGGGGGTGTGAGTTGGTATTGAGCTCAATCTGCCAATATGAGACGATGAGATCTAGGGTCGAGAAAATTGCTGAGTTCCCCAAAGAGTGAAGGGTGTTGTCAATGTGGGGGAGAGGGTACACATCTCGAGTTGTAATTCCATTGAGTTTGCAGTAGTCAATACAGAACCAAGGGGAGCTATCCTTTTTGATAACAATAACTACCGGAGAACTCCATGGTGAGTGGGAGGGGGTGATTATTCCATTGCGGAGCATCTTGTCAATCATGTCATTAATTTTGTCAGTCTCAGCCGCTGACACTCGATGAGGTGGGCTGGAGATTGGTAGATGATTGTGCGTGTCAATGTGATGTTGTACCGTGGTTGTAACCATGTGAGCCTTGGTGGCAAAGATGGATCGGAAGTTGTTGAGTAATTGGAGAATATTTAACTTGTGGTTTTCATCAAGATCAGCGTCCACTGACATATCCTTTAAGTCGAATGGGTCCCCTGGGGTTGTGGTGGAAGCTGGGGTAGAAGAAGTGTTATTATCGTTCTTTATAGAAATTGCGTTTATACTTCCCATTATTTCCACAGTAGCCAAAAGACTACCATTCTGAACTTGAAATGTAGTGGTGCTCAGGTTGGCCAACTTGATTACTCCATGTCTCTGTTTGTCAAACTGCACCACACCTGTGGCAATAGCACACAATTGGCCAGAGCAAACTTCCACACTGGTTTTGACATATGCCAACAAGTTGGCTGGTCCAATGACATGGTGATAACAGTGGGACAATCTTGTTAGTTGGACATGGCCCATGGCACGCACTGGTGAGGGTGCACAGCTGGTTGGTTTCGAGATGGTGGCACAAGAGTCGAACCTAATGCTATTCAATGAAGTGTTGATAGTGGCAGAGAGTCACTTGAGGTCCAGATAACCCAAGACTACATCGTGGGCCAGATGGTCCACCACATGGAAGGTGAGGCACACCGGTCAACCCAGTAGGGCAACAGTGAAGGTGGTGGTGCCATGGGAATGTGCAGATACTCCCGCTGCTGTGTTGAAGGTGATAAATTGAGATTTGTTGATGACTGTAGTGAGGTTGGTTAATGCAAAAGCCCGAATGGCTGTGATTGCCAATCCCATATCAATCAAGGCAGACAGGGCTTTATTTTGAATAATGCATGGGACCAAGGGACCTGACGCCTTAAAGACGTAGAAAGTGGTGTTGTTGAAGCCTGGGGTCACGGTCACCGCAGCAGAGAGAGGGTCTGTCAGGCCGTCTTCTTCTGATTGAGAAGTGATAGTGGCTGAACAAGGTGTGCCTGGGCAGTCCTTGTTGTGGTGGGCGCCTTTGCAGTACTCACAGATGGGTTTCCCATCGGGTCACCAGAGACGAGGTACATTGTCAGTTTGGCCCTGTCAGAGAGGGCAACAAGGAGCAGATATTGCAGCAGAATAGTCCATGGGTTCCAGCCAGCAAGAGGAGTGGAAGAGATAAGGGGGAGGGGCCAAATCGCCAATCTGGTTCTTGTGAACCACAGCCTTGTCATATGCAGTTTCTCAGTCATCCAAGACAGTCAAAGTGGGTTCAATGAGTTGATGCAAGCGAGGTTTGATGTTGTGGAGGAAAATTTTGAGGATTGTGCAGGGAGACAGGCAGCCAGAATCGGGCATGTCATTTGCCAGAGTTGCAAACTTGACGCAAAACAATCTGATGGAGAGGTTTCCCTGGGTTGTGGCTTGTAGTGCACGTCGACGTTGTGCCTTCTCCACTTCTGGGTCAAGACCATAAGTGCTGGTGAGAAGGTGCACCAACTCGTCCCAGTTATCTTGGCAACTGGACACACAAATCCATTCCGCGATGTCAGGCAGGAGATAGTGTGAAAGAAATTTACCAAGTAAGGTGTGGGGTACACCAATGAGAGTAGCTTTGGTGCGGTATTGCATGAGCCAAGATGTGATGTACATTGATGGATTGTACACCGGCATGATCAGAGACTCCGCGGCGGAGGTGAGGTAGAGAGAGGCTAACATATTGTTGGCCAAAATGTCAGGTAAAGGCAGAGGAAGATCCATAGGTGAATCCATGAGCAAGCCCTGAATGTTGGCCATGTCAGGGTTGTTCAGCGGGTTGTGTTGACTATTGGTGGCCATGGGGCAGGAAAAGCAAAGGAACACAGGAGATGAAGCAAAGAGGCGGTAGAGTCAGAGGCAGTATTGAAGAGACAAGCTTCTCCACCATGTAATAACTATGTAAAGTTATGTATGGATACAAGGCTAGTTTAGGAAACTAGGCTTGGGAGACGAAGATTATGAGCTTAAGAAAGATAGTCTTTTATTGATAGCAATTGAGCAAGTATTTATACTAAATATTAAGAGATAGAGAAGCTAGAGATAGGACATGTTGTGGTATACGTAAGCTTATGCATACCACAACAGTACAAGACAGAGACAGAGACAGAGACAGAGACAGAAACAGAAGGACGCAGAGAGGTGATCCATGCATTGAGAGATGCAGACAATGAGAATGCCGGAGTACTAGTTACAGCTAGGATATGGGCAGGGTTATCCTTAGACACAACAATACAAATATCTAAAAAGATATAGATCTCCTATATTTAAAATGTTTTATTGGCTTAGATGGAAAATAATAAAAAATCCCATAAATTGTATTTGACAAAAAGTAAAACTAATAGGCTAAAACAGGCATGCTATTGGCTATAAAAGTTACAAGTTTATAACTTGTTACAAGGTTGGTATTTTAAAGACAGACTTTTAAATAGCAGATGTTATGAGAGATCTATGGTAAAATAGACCAACATACCCTTTTTTTTGCATAAAAGATATAATAAACTAACACATGTTAAGTGTTTTTTATATATTTCTTGATTTATCAATAAATTATAAAGTAGAAATACTTGAAAAAAGTCACAATTACAAATACTGTATTTTCACTAATTATTTGCTAACTTTGAATATATTATTCACATATCAATGAGTAAATTTTCATACATTTTTTCTGATAAAATTCATATATGACTTCGACTGAAATTCACACATTTGGATTTTATTTTCATGTAAAATTATTTTCTACTATCTTTGTATGGCAAAATTTAACTCTCTCAGATGAAAAAGCAGAAAGAATTGTCACATTTTTGGCTCTTTTGGATTTTGTTGGCACAAGAGCACACTCTCCTGTCTTTGCTCTGGCATGTCCCTTGATCAATTTAAAATTAAAGCTGGTCTCATTAATAAAAATACAGTTTTGACTGTACAAGATTCCTTTTGGCTACAGACTTACAATAGAGTTACATCTTTTTCTAAGAGTCACTTTGTCATTTCTCTTCTTCTCAATTGGTAGTGCTCTTTTGAGAGTGATTCTCTCAACGTAGTGAAAATGATTACACAGAGTTGGGATACTTATTTTCTCTAGGTCATCGAAATGATTTATTAGCTCTTGTTGTAGCTCTGCTAGAGTGATAGTACTTTTGCTATTAATCACATCCAGAATAAACTGTTTGGGATAATCTTTGATGATTGTTCTAAAATCACTACCCAGAGACTTATACTTTACACTTCCAGTTCTCTCAAATCTTCGAATTATTGAGTTCACAGTCAAGTGCAGAATATTAAGCTCCTTGACAATTTCTGATAGAGCTTGCAACTAGCTTTTACTCTTTTCAATTATCAGGTGACAGATGTGAGTTGAGCAAGTGACATCACTGTATTTCATTCTCTTTCTGGATTTTGTATGTAGCATTAGAGTTCTTTCTGTATCAGACATTATAAGCTTTTTGAGGAATAGGTATAGAGTTTATTTTTGAATATAAAAAGAAACAATATATGAAGATTGTACAGATTTTTATTTATGCTTCTTGTATGTTTTTTACATTAGTAAAATATATACTATTCAATGTAAATTATATAAGACATGAAGATAATAATATGCTTTACACATCTTTTTATTCATTTGAATTTTCAATTGTAAATCAAATCAAATAAATAAACTTATGTATCATAAATTTGCATTCATGGCTAGTTCAATACTGCATGTAACAAATTTGATACTATATTTTTGGCAAATTTGATTGTGTATTTGTGACAATTTTTTTTATGGCTGTGTCTAAATTTTTGTTCTATATGGCAAATTTGATATGAGAATTCTGTATATATAAATAAGTTGATAGAAGTTACTAAAAAATTATAAATATATTTTACATATATTTATTTGTATACAAGAACTATTCTTTTTTTTTAAAAGTAAACTCTTATAATCTATGTTTTCATATGTGTCTTTTTAATAAATACAAAGATAAAATAGCAATAAAAACACGTTTGATATTTTTTATACTAAAATTCAAGTATATAAAAAGAGTTGATAAGAAATAATACTTTTTATATTTGATACTTTTTAAGTTTCTTAAACGTAAAATTTTTATTATATATATTAATGATATAGATATACTGATTATATGAAACAGCTTCTCATTTTTTATTTTTTTTTAAAAACAAATTAGCACTTATTAAAAACTTTGTCTGTTATTTAATTTATATATCAATTATTAAAATAAACTGACTGCATTAATAAGAAGTATTTTAAGATTGTATTTATTTGATTTTACAAAATATAAGTTTTTTCTTTTAGTATTTACTTTATGTATTGATATAGATATTATATATATATTTAAAATAATAATATGAGAATATTATATAATATTTGTTTGTTTTTATCTGATATAATATATATTTAGTTTATTGTCTACATTCTTATTTAACTGATATATAATACTATCTAAGATATCTGATTTTATGATTAGCTTGTTATTTTAATTTATTATAGCATAAAAAATAAGCTATTGTTGTGGAGATTGAAGTTGGATTAAGTTTTTAAGAAGAAGAATTTATGATTCGAGATGAGGAATGAAGATTTGTACAAACTTGTGTAAGGTTTGTTTATTAAGAAAAGATTTGATATCAAAATTTGATGAGGTTTCTACTCTGAACTACTACTGCTATTTATATTATTTTGGGCCAGAAAAATTATATGAATAAGATCAGATAATCAATTGTATCTGAGCCTTAATCAGAGTAACATGATATTGAAATAATTAATATATAATTAATTATATAAAAATGTGTAGTCCTAATGAATTATTAACATAGAAAGTAATTGTGTTTATGAGTTATCATTATACTTATAATAATTTACAGTCAAAGCTTGATTTAGTAATATTCTTTGGGAGTTGCCAAATCATATTCCTATTACTAAATCAAATATATTTTTTCTTGCTCAGATGTCTTTTTTAGTATTACTTGTTCTCCGATTTGAGTGACTCTTATTTTTATTATAGCACATTGCTGTGATATTTATTTTTATTCTTATATATGACAAGTCTAATAGTAATAAGAGCTATAAAATATATCAAAATTGAAGTATTTGTGATATGTCTATAGGTGTAGAGAAGATAAGATATAGTAGATATGTAGGAATAAGTGAGACTTGGTGATATTTGAGTTTTATTGGAGTAGAAAATAGAAAAGAATTTTGATATCAATTAAGATAAGGTTCTAAGTATGTCAGTTATGTGCCCTTTTATAGATTTCTTCTACCTTCAGATCTGCTAATATTATTGGTCCCTGAGATTAATGCTGTGTTTATTATTGGACTTGTTTTATATTTTTTTTATGACTAGTCAAATACGATAAAAATACATTAAATACAAGACAATTATAAGCTAATATCAAATATTTTAATAAATAAATGAGAGATATATGAATAAATATTTTATTATTAAAGATGTTTACTATTATATCTATTTATTAAAAATTTTAATCAAGGTTATATATATTTCAGCATGTAGAAAGAATAGAATGAGTCTTTTTTAAGTTATATATTTAATTTTAAAATATTTGGGTATAGAGTAAGTTTTGCAATAATATAAGATTAAATATATAGAACAATAAGAGTAAGTCTTTTGATAATTAATGTTTTATTTAAGAAAACACAAGTTTTCTATATTTATTAATATTTTCTAACTATGATAGTTACACTTCTTTTGCAAGGGGGTCGTTTTTTTTTCATTCACGTCCATCAATATTATTGGTCTCTGGAATTAATGCTGTGTTTACTATTGGACTTGTCTTATAAGAATTTATGTGACCTTAAAAATATGATACATTTAACATCAACTTGCTTAATATAAAAGACATATCATAGTATATATATTATTACAGTTGTCTTTATTGATACAAACCTTTCTCAGCACACGCACACACACACACACAACGCATAAAACTTATTCTCTTTTCTCAAAATGCCTAAGTCACCTAACATCTTTTCTTCTTCCAACATTGAGAACACTGGCAGCAAATGTGTCCGTCTCAATAGAAAGCAAAAGCTGGAGCTCTGTGAGAAGGCTAAGCATGGCCTTAACCAAGACCAGTTGAGAGACTGGGCCAAGCTGCCATCCCAGCCTGCAATCTCCCAAATCCTCCAGTAAGAAAAGCACCTCTAGAAGAAAGATAAGTAAGAACTGGAGAAGCTTAGCAGCAAGAAGGCAGCCAATCCTCAGCTAGAGGAGAAGGTTGACCTCTACATGAGTATCATGGAGAGCAGATGCAACCCCATCAACGTCAACATGATCAAAAATTGTGCCAGGGCACCTGCCATCACTAAGCTTGGCATTGCTGAAGAAGATCTTCCCAGTTTCTTCGATGGGTGGATTGCCAACATGAAGAAGAGACTCGGGTATAAGGGCAGAAGAATGCACAGCACAGCAGCCTCTGCCCCAGTCGACACCATGGGTCTCAAGTTGAGAATAGAAAATATCAAGAAGTTGAAGACATACAAGAGAAGAGACATCTTAAACTTTGATGAGACTGATCTCTTCTACAAGCAACCCCCCACCACCACCATCTCAAAGGCTGCGGTTTCTGGCCAAAAATTCAACAAGACTTGGCTCACTGTGGCCCTCATTGCTAACTCTGATGACTCCTTAAAATTGGAGCTATTTATCATTGGCAAGCATGCCAAACCTCGTTGCTTTAGCAAGAAGACTAGTAATTTACTACAAATCTTATATAAGCTGCGATTAATAAGTTTCACTGGAAAAATGACCCTGAATACCTATGTGTGGGGGTACCTGAACACCATAGTAAATTTAGGGTGATTTTTTATCTCAGCATTATTTTTGTGTTCAAACTGATAGTGTCATTGTACTGGATCCTATTGGCTTAGCTATTTCGATTATCATAGTTACTTTATCATTATTATTATAAAGTCGTAATAAATAAAAACATATGTAACACTTGTTTTTATTTTACTTTAACATTTTAAACAATTAAAAAAACACAATGTCTTCTACTTCGAACACTCATAATAAGAAGTGCTTTTGCAATGAATGCAAAAATAACCAAGGAGGTTACAGTCTAGTTCAAAGACAAACTGCTCAACGCCATAACAAAAGAGCAAGATATGAAGCCTTCAAAAGAAGTGAAATGGGTACTTTTTTTGGAATTTTTGGTTTTTATTTTTTGGGGGTATTTTGTATAATAATAATTTTAAATAGATACATTTGCTCAAAGCAGCTCGATGGAAGTTGATGTTGAAAGTAAGCAGAATATATTTTAACACCAGAGGATATAAACTAAGAGTTTTATTCTATATGTAGCTTTTCTGTCCCAGGAAGCAGGCCCCTTGGAAATATCGGTTGGTCAGACCAACTCACCTTTTTGGGAAGCCAATATTATGTCTGACAATGACAACATGACTATTGACAATGAGGTTGTTGACAATGCTGATGATGACAATGACATGAACAATGACGAAGAAGAAAGCAAAGAGGTTGAAGAGGTTGAAGGGGTTGAAGATATTGTTGAAATCGAGGTCGAAGAATTTGATAATGAAGGTCAGTATTGAACAACTAAGAAAAAAAATGGGGGTGTTAATTTTTTTTATAATAGACCCTTTTGCCACTCCCGATATGCCTGAGAACCCAGTGCACAGGTTCATTGCTACTTTTGTGGTAATGTTTGCTTCCCGCTATGTGGTCAACAAGGGTGCTGTTGTCTTGATCGAGTTCATCAACAAGCTCTTGATGATTTACGAGCAGGATTTCCAATTGCCCTTGAGCCTTCCTGGTCTCCAATGCATGACAGGTTTCTCCACCATGAACAAAAGCGTTCAGAGATTCCTTGTGTGTCAGGACTGCCACAAGGTGTATGAGAAAAGTGCATTGGCTCCTTCCCATTGGGACTTCATGAAGCTTGGCGCGCGTTCTGCATGCAACTGTCAATTGACAAAAACATCTTTCTCTGGTCTCCAGGTCGCCAAACGTGAATACTGTTACCAGTCAGTAAAAAATGCACTAAGATTGCTCTTTCTCTGCCCAGATTTCAAGCAAAAAATCAGACAGTAGAATAAGCAGTTAAAGATTGTAAATACATTGTGCGATGTATATGATGGCAATATGTGGAAAGAGTTGGAAGATAAGGATGGCGAATCCTATGTTGAAGACCCTCGTTCGTTAATGATCACGTTGAACATCGATTGGTTCCAGCCCTTTGATGGGGCCAGTTATTCGTGTAGTGCCATGTACCTGGTTGTCAACAATCTTCCTCGAGAAGAACGATTTTTGGCAGAGAACACAATTCTAGTTGGACTTATGCCTGGGCCAAAGGAGTCAAAAACTGACAAAATCAATAACTACTTAAGACCATTGGTGGATGAGTTATTGGAGCTGTATGTTGGAATACATGTACCTCCTTACGAACACCCAGCAGGCACTCAGATTCGTGCAGCATTATTAATGGTAGCGTGTGACATTCCTGCAGCAAGAAAGACCAGTGGATTCACTGCACACAATAGCACGTGTGCATGTTACAAATATAACAAACAATTCCCTCGTCTGGAAGGCAGTTCTGCTGTTGACTTTTCTGGATTCGACACAGACCAATGGCAGCCAAAAAATAATGATATGAACCGTTTTCATGCTGAGGAGTGGGAAAGTGCAAGCACCCCCTCAGAAAGACAGCAGCTGGAGGTCGAAAATGGTGTCCGATGGTTGCAGTTGTATTGTCTTAGATACTTTGATCTAGTACGTGGAACGATCATTGATCCCATGCATAATCTTTTCCTAGGAATGGCAAAAAGAATGGTTGAAAAATGGATCAAAGAAAATGACATATCACCAGCGGATTTGACCACAATGCAAAAGATGTCAGAATCAATGGTGCTGCCAGCCGATTACACAATTTTGAGATCCAAAATTGAGAAGGGTTTCTCATATATGAAAGCAAACAAATAGAAATTCTGGGTATTAGTAATACTCTCCAGTTCTCTTGAAGAATATTCTGCCATGACACAAGTTGAAGAACTGGATGGATTTTGTAAATGCATGCCATCTTCTCATAAAGCCATCAATTACTATGTCTGAAATCAACAAAGCTCACGACTATATGCAGAGTTTCTGTCAGCAATGCCTAGTAATATATAAACCTGGTTTTCTCACCTGCAACATACACTTGCATCTTCATTTTCGTGAGACCATCAACAATTTTGGACCAGTGTATGGTTATTGGCTCTTTGGTTTTGAGAGGTACAATGGGCTGCTTAAGAAAATTGACACCAATCGAAAAGACGGATTTGAGGCTACATATATAAAAACATTCATTAATGATGCATATAAGGGTAATTACATGCGAAAGGTCTTGATATGCCCTAGCCTAGTCCCCTTCATCCCACTCCTTCAAAAACTTACTTCCTCTGCCACAACTACCGCCAACTATGATTCCTATGCCTCCTATGCCTTCTATGCTTCCCTTTCACACCAAAATTTCCGATTGCAACAATTTGTTAACATATTCTTATGCCCATCACCTTCAACGAAAGGCAACAAACCACTTCCTCTGTCATCCTTCCCATTACGTTCCTTAAACGCATTGACAATGAGTGATATTAATTATCCTCAATTACTCCATTTTTATCAGCTTGTATATGCCAATCCTGGTATTGTTAGTTACCGCAATACTTCCTTATGCCCTTATTTTGTTGATAATCAAATCACAAAATTAAAATCAATCAATCTCCTTGGCCAAATATATAAAGGCAAAAACAGTTGTGAAAATCGTGGGTCTTTTGTACAAGCAATGTTTCTTGGTGGCAACAACGTAACTAAAACCGCATGCACAGGACAAATTCAGTACTTGTTCATTCAATCATTCACACCTCTACCACATCCAAACTCTCCTGCATCCCAAGTCCATAAAAAAAAACACATCTTTGCATATATTCGATGGTTATCAATTACAGCTGATAAAAGGCGCGAAACTGAAAGCATTGATATCTACTTGCCAAACTTCACGCCAGACAATTACCATAGCATTCTGCCAGTACATCGCATTGACATGGAAGTTGCAACTGCTAGTGAAAAAACAAGAAATAATATCAAAAAAACACTTGTCATTCCTTTACCCAAAAAATATTATGTCTAAAATTTCTATTAATAAATATGTCCTATGCCCCTCTTTCTATAAAGAAAAACAAAAAGAAAACTCCAAAGATGAGTAGTACCTCTTTTTTTTTATAATTAGAGTGTAGGAAGTAGGCATAGACGAAAAGTTTTTTTTTTGTTTAAAAAAAAGAATTTGCATATTTTATCTAGGGCCCATTTCTAAGAGCCCACTGAGGTAACTGTGACGCAATTGCATCTGGGACTGCCGAATCTGTGGTTCTTAACCAAATTCGTTCCAGTAACTGATGGGCATTGTTGCCCAAATCAGCTATAACAGCCTCATCAACGAGTTCAATCAAACGATTGTACTATGCAAAGGACAATATTCATATCCATATATTATTATACATCACGAAAACAAAAAAAAATTTAAATTATCTGAAAAATTTACCTCATTGCTTCTCCATCCTGGACGCAAGATCTGAATCGGTTGGGAAGAAGTTGAGCCTCTTGAATCACTGTCTGATTCACCTTCAGACATTGCTTCCCTGATGAGCAGAGCAGAGCAATCTTGCGCCATTTTCTTGTCAATGGCAATCTTGTTCTTATTGTATGCTGCCTTGCGATGTCTGAAGTGCTAATAGAAATATCAATTAAGAATTTTTGCTAATTTATATCAAGAAAAATATAAAATGAAGTCAATTAAAAATATAATCTACCTCCTTCTCACGCCTATGTCTTCTGGAAACAGTATTCGACTTCTTCTTGGCTTCTCTATCCTTGTTCTGCTCACGCTTACAAGAGCAGTAAGTCGTGTAGACATATTTGTTCAGGTCTGCCTCTCTCATTCCAACACCAACAAACTTGGGCACCAGATAGTCAAAAACATTCTTAGCCGATTCTTGGTTAGGCAAAAGGCGAAAGCAAACTGTAGTGGCCCATCTGGGCCTATTTTTGTTTGCCTGCACCAAGGCAGGCTCGTCTGACCAAAAGTTGGGATTTCACATGTACCATTTGATGAATTTCTATTTGATTATAATTAAATACTGAATTGATATATTTTTATATATTCGAATACATACATAGGCATTTTTGGTATTGGCCTTACTTGGTCCCGCAGCAAAATCTGCTTGGGGAGGTGCAGTGATCTCGGTACTAGCAGTAGCAAGGATGGTGGCAACAATGGGAGCAGGAATGGGGTTGGTAACCATGCTGGCTGGTACAGCGTTATCAGAGCTGGTTGCCGCAATGGCACCAACGTTTTTGCCCGTGTCAGACAATTGACATTTACTGCTTTTATGTCAGCTTGCATACCAGCAAGGCTGGCAGTGATTCTTTTCTCTTCCACAGTAATCTCAGGGAGAATATGGCGGTTTCCAGACATTTTCTAATAAATGTTGTATTGCCCATTTTGCAATTATTAATATTGGTCTATTATATAAATTCGTATATATTTTATGTCTTTTATAATAAATCTACAGAGGTAGATTGAAATCGTTTGTGTGAATGTTTGGGTAGGTGAGTAAGTAGGTAAAGATTTGTGATTAAGTGCGCAACTATAAATAAAGAACAAACTTTCAATGATATTAAATGTCTGAGAATATTTATATGTGATGAATATTATTTTATGAATATATCCAAAATAACTTCTTTGAATACTAAATGAGAATTGGCCTTCGTATTACTTTATTTTGAACTCCATCTAATATATGCTTATTGCCTTTTTGTCTTTTTGTCTTTCCATCCTTCCGTCTTTTGGTCTTTTGGCTTTTTTTTATTTTTATTTTTTATTTTTTACTTTTTCCCCATTTTACTGTTTTCTCTCTTCTCTCTTTTTCTCTTCCATTCTCTTTCTTTCCAACTTTCATTATTTTCACGCGTTTTTCGGGTAAGATGACTTATTTAAAATAATATATATATATATATAACTAAAAATAATAATTGTTTCTGTTGTTGTAGACACTAGCATTTTATTTTCTTCTGATGCATCTTCTTCACAATGGTCATCCGGATTAGTAAAGGTTAGTAAATATACTTCTTGCCATCAGTCCATAACATTATTCTAACTTTTTCTCTTTCTTTCATAAAGCCCATATCGCCAAAAATACTCTCTATAGTTAAACACGGCTATCAACATGGTAATATTTTATATCTCTTTTTTTATTATATTATGTTTTAATATTTATCTAACCAAATATACTTTTTATTATAGGTGAATGTCCCTCTCACGAACACGCCATAGATCAAGAGTCTTTATCCCATGCTACTGACATTACAATGGTAAGTCTTTTTTTTTAAAGAATATCTATATGTTAACATTATTGATACACTATAATAATATAATATTTTCTTTTACTAGATGCTATATTAGCTCTTGAAAAGTACTTCTTGGCTTACAAATGTATTCTCTTGATTTATAAAGGTAAATGAATTTCTCTAGCATCCAATTCATCCAAATTAATTTTTGTCAATTATTCTCATAGTCAAAGGAATTGTATCAAACGTCATCTTTACCATCGTCAAAAAAATTCTGTTTATTCTCAACAAACAGCTGTTGTGTAAGTATAAGTTTGTATAAATGCTGGTATCTGTAGAATATAGAAAGCATAATCCTTTTGATTGAACACACTTCTTGTTCATACTTTCTAAACATTGCTCTATCATATCAAACAGCATATTGTTTTTATTTTTTAGGCATTTTATTTTTTGGGTAAAGAACCACCCGATCCAAAATAATATCAAGCAGGCTAGTAGAAATGATCTAGAATATACAATAATACTACTAGATCATCAGTCCAGAACAATTCTTTTTTTTTAATAAATACAAAAAATAAACTATATTTTAAATCAATAATAACTGAATATCAAGTAATTGGGAGAGTATGCTATGAATGACCTCATAATAAAGAGTGTCAAGGATTAGTTAAAACAGTTGACGATCCTACCTTTACTACATGAATCAAGTACCTGCATATCGTTCTTTAAACTGGCATGACCCGTGTATCACAATAAAATGTAAACTTAAACTAAACCTTCTTAATACTTCATACTACGTCAGTGCACACACAGAAATACTAATGAACCGTACTCAGTCATATTTTCAAGATTAACTCCACATCTTAGGTGCGACACGGCACTTGTTCTCAAGCTACTTTTAGTACCATATCAAATCACACCAAAGATAGAAGTTAAACCCCAAAATTACACTATATTACAGACAGTTTTACACGATAGTATTTCAGTGGATTTTTGCAGTGTTTCTTCTTTACTAAATACTTTTTTTTAAAATAATAATACAGGCAGTGAGCTTGGATTCTGTTACTACTACAGTAATAAAAACTGGATGACGGGAGCAATCTTTAAATACATTTGCATGGTTATTGATAGTCAAGCAAGAAATTTGAATCGCAAATTTCTGATCCTGCTTGACAATGCTCCTTGTCATAATACTACTGCCTCATATATCAATCTCGGATTCTTATATCTTCCACCAAACACAACATCATATCTCCAACCTTTAGATGCCAGTATTATCCAAAACTTTAAAGTTAAATACCAGAACTATCAATATACTCTTGGAACTGGTAGATATATCTCTGAAAAGATTGATAACCCTGATAACCTCTCCAAGTTAACACAACTTGAAAGCATGAAGTTTATTTTGAGAGCTTGAAAAAAAGTAACACCCAAAACAATTACCAGCTGCTTCAATCATATCTGACTTTTTAACAACCATATATCCTCACCAAAAAATACTCAGCCTCTTATACCCAAGACCATCACTATACTCATTTAAAGAGTTAACGTCATTCTTGGATTTGAGAAGATAACAAACAAAGATATTAAAAACATTAATACCTCTGAAAAGTCTCTCTATACCCTAGAACATTATATCTTTGACGATGAAGAAGAAGTAGAATTAGTAGAAAAAAAAAAGAGAAAAAAGAAGAGCCAACATATCAAATTTCTGCTGATGAGAAAAGATTGCTTTTAAAAGAAGTGCTGGCCACAGTGTTGCAATTATTTGTACTCTGTGATCATGATTATAAAAAATTCTTTCTTAAACTATGTACTTTAATTATTGGTAATATAAAATCTGAAGAAAATTCTGAAAAAACTCTCCAAAAAAATAAAAAAGAATACTTTAAATAATAATTGTATATAGTAATAAATGTAAATAGTAATAATTGTAAATAGTAATAAATTTAAATAGTAACTAGAGGAGCGGTGCTCCCCCCCTTTGGGGGTGGGGGTGGGGGAGTAAGCCTCAGAGCCTACTGGAAGTTAATATAAAACCCTTCCCTATTAGAAGTCTAAGTATCATATAGCATAATTAATAGAAGCATTTTATTTGAGTGAATTATATGAAAAGAAAGGATATGTATAGATGTTTTATTATTTAAAAAAATGATTAGATGGGTTTATAGTGTATGTTATATATAATTTTTTACTAAATGTCAAAGATTTTCTTAAATATAACATTGTCTGCAAATACAGTATTTGCCATTTCGTTGGAATTTGCTGGTGTATTAAGCATTATCTTGATTGTAGAAGGTTTTCTGACCCGGGATAGAGCAACATACAGCTGGCCATGGGAGAATACTAGGGCAGGGAGATATAATCCAACGCTCTCAAGAGTTTGACCTTGTGACTTATTTATTGTCATTGCAAATGCAAGACGAACTGGAAATTGAAACTGCTGGAATTCAATTTCACAATTTGATCCAGATGGATTAAGCTTTATTCTTGGAATAAGAGATACTTGCCTGGCATTGGATCCAGTCGAAATTGTTGCTCTGATGACAGATGTTCCAAAAGAGTTGAAAATCAGGTGTGTACCATTACAGAGACCGTTTTTTGGGTCAAGATTGTGAAGAAGCATGATAGGACATCCTTTTTTTAAGGACAGTGAGTAAGGTGGTAGGGATCCAGGATCAATGGTATTTAGTAGCTCAACTGGATATGTCAACTGACCATCTTCATCAATTCCCTGGTCGATGCTCTTAAACTCTTGTGCCTCTCCAGGAAACTGGCTCAGAAGAATATCATTGAGTTTCTTGACATCTTTATTCTTAGGAGTAAGCAAAGCACGGCCCATGAGAAAATGAGGGTTGGCTGCATTAGAGGAGAGATCATAGAAAACTGCTTTGTCCAGATCAGCAGGATTACATCCAGAAAGTAACATATGGGGCGGAATTGGGATGGTGTTATCACCGCCTGTTGTGCGGGCAGAACCACTACCAACTTGCAAGAGAAATGCTCCAAATTCCATAAGCTCTAATGTTTCTTGTTCATTATTTGCTTGGGCAATTCGCATGTTTGTTGTAAGCCACAAGGTTTTTACATTTCTCCATGCAGATGCTTTCTTGATACATTGGCTTACAACCTGAGCTCTTGTTGCCTTGGGTATAACAGGAAGGACCTGCCGAAAATCGCCTCCAAAGACAAACAACTTCCCTCCAAATGGAACGTTTTCAAGCAATGGATCGACAGCCTTCATTATATCTTGCATGGATCTGCTTACAGTATTAAAAACATCTTTACTAATCATAGAAGCTTCGTCCCAGATAACCAATTCTGTTCTTCTAATAAGTTGTGCCGTTTGCAAGTTTGCATTGATGGAGCATAAAGAGTTAAGATCAACTTGTACTGGAATCTTAAACCTGGAATGTGCTGTACGCCCACCGTCTAACAGCAATGCAGCAATTCCACTTGTTGCTACTGCAAGAGCAATTTTTCCTTGTTGGCGAGTTTTTTGAAGCAAGGCATTAAAGACAAATGTCTTTCCCGTCCCACCTGGACCATCAACAAAGTACAATTTTGGGGCTCCCACGTTTTCTTCAATTGCACTTAATACTGTTGTATAGATACGTCTTTGTGAATTATTGAATGTCAATGTATCTGGATCTGGCAAAAGCTGGGCTTGATCGCATAAATCTTCTTGTTCTTGTATGATGGCTTGAACATCTTGCACATTTGGGCTAAAGTGCTGGATGTCAGGCATTGGTGGAAGAACAAATCCAGTGAACAACATGAGAGACATAGAGTTGGCAGATAGATGACTTTCGATATCCCATAAACATCTGTCAAACATATCTTGTGTGGGGGCTAACGCAGGAATTCCACTACTTTCTCTTGCCAAATGAAGATAATCTTCAATCATAGAATTGTGATAAGCAAGCCACAAAGAAAAAGGATCTGATACTGCACAGAAAATCAAAAGAATAGCAAAGAGTTTTCGTAAAGAAAATGGGATCTGATGAGCTGCTGCCTCTTCCATACAGTTACTCCACTCATCATCATTCAAAAGTAATCCCAGAGCACGACATGCAGCTTGGTTCGTTTCATACACACATCCTTCTACTGTACGTATGTCTTCAAGGCTTTTGGCCCCTTTAACATTATGCAGCAGTAATCGTAACGAATATTTTTCAATATCTCTTGGAGACACTGTGTAAACTCTGCCAATCGTTCCTTTATCAAACCTCTTATGTGCTGTCCATTTTTGTTCTTTTGTATTCCATACATAAAGAGAAGGAAAGTCGACGTAAAGAAATTGTTCAGATGATGGGTGTGTAGCATTATAGTCGAAATATCCCATTAAAGTAGTGTTTTTTCTGGAATTTGCAACATCCTCTGGGTTAGAAGATGGATTATAATATACGGGTTGGGCATTTTCCAGATGGATTGAAAGTCTTTGATGGCTGGGATACTCTTGATGAAGCTTGAAAGAAAATATTCTCCAGCATGCTTCAGAAGCGGAGACATACCGAGCATCAAGAAACTCATTAACTTCATTTACATGCTCTTGTTGTTGTTGTGGAGCGGAATTGGTGGGTGTAGGCTGCACACAGGCTATTGCACGGTCATGTCCTTTATATACATATTTGTAGAGGTATTTTACGGCAGAAACTGAGGTGCTAATCTCAACATTTATATGAGCATTGTATTTTGCACATATGTATCTATTGTGTGGAACAACCTATCCATTATCCATGATCTTTGGCCCTCTTCTAATAACTCTTCCATTTCGACTGCGTTGATAAATAAGATATCCGTTTCTACCATCGCTAGTCTCATTGCAAAGCTTTTAGAATAATTCTTTGAACAAATCCCATTCTTTATGCATAGTGCTTTAAAATATTTCTTTTTGCATAGATCATGCATCATACATTTTTTTACTGTTTTGTATGGCAATGGCTCAGTTTCAGGATCTGGGATTTCAGCCAAAACTGTTCTGTCAAAATTTTCTATTGTTTTTGGTTTATCTTGTGGTCGCAAAATCAAAAGAATGTGGGCATGAGGAAGTCCCCACTTTTAGAATTTAATGATATAAATAAAGGTCAAAACTTTCCCCAGAATGTTTTTCTGTAAGGTCAATCATGAGCTCTTTGAGCTTCATATTGAAAACCCAAGAACAAAGATCTGATCTGTCATTAGTTTTTTGCTCAGTCAGCAGGGAATTTGTAATTTCTGACCACTTTGAATTGCAAGTAAAAGTTATGAGTAAATCAGGCTTGCCAAAACGACACACAACCCTCATTGAATCTTGATAAAGTTGAGCCATATACTGGGGGCTACCAATAAAAGAAGATGTAAGAATAACTCTCTTTCTAAGATTTGCAAGATTACAATTGTCATGGATAACAGCATTCTGAATTTCATTGTAGATCTACACGGTGACGATTTTGATTGCTAGTGATGAAGTACAGCTGATCGTGCTCAACTTTGGCATACATAGCAACAATATATTATTGAAAGAGATGGCCAAAAAGATGGAGGACGTGCTGGGTGTTGCGTCAATACATCAAATGTTTTGAGTACTATTGCATTACTGTAACATGCTCTCCTGACAATGAGCTGGCATCAATAGTCTAACCATCTTCACCATGTGGAAAGAGTAGCACATAGTGTAAAGCATCGTAAGATCAGTGGAACTCATTGATGTTTTGTCAGAAGTTGGCTCTGGTGTGCAGCACAATGTCTCTTGAAGTACCCTCTTCATTATTTCTAATAAGAACTGTTTTTTTACTTGCAGTTGGAGCATTATACTGTCTTTGATCCCAAGGCCCCTCAGCTACTAAACGCAAAGTGAGATCCATAAATTGTCTCTTTTCCCAAGAAATTTGATCTATTGTTCTGAAGAGATGTATGAATGGATTTGTTTCCATAAGAATGGACCAAATCTTTTTCAAAACACTTCTTTCCAATTGTAGGGAATGATACTGTCTTTGATCTATCTGAGCAGCACTATTATAAATATAGATCTGAGCAAATTTTGGGTGAGCAATATCAGATTCTCTCACTGGCAAAATAAATCCAGTTCTATAAAAAATTGTTCTATGAATCCGGAAGTTGTATGCCACATTGATATTGTTGTCAACAAAGATATCAATTTTAGCTCCCAAAAGATAAAGCTCATTGTGCTATTATAGCTTTAAATATTTTCAAGAAACTTCTTCTACTATGTGTTCTATAGATCAAAAGCTCAGCAATTCCTGTAGCTGTTGACTCAATTTGGGGGAGAACATGCTTTTCTTTTTTATAACACATAGAAAACACAGGGCTTCTTAAAGAAGAAAAACTGTTTTTTTTATGTGGTCACATCATTGCCCCACAAAATTGACACTTGATATCCATATCTTCCCTGTTATCAAGTGCTGGTTCTGAAATAGCTGGAAGTCAGGCAATATTATTCAAGCCTCTGCCTCAATATCTAGATCTCCTTGCTCTGCTACTGTTATTGTTTGGACAAAATCTGCTTGTAATTTGGCAATGATCAGTTCCATTACAGTGAGAACAATGGGGTAAGATTGATCCTCTATTCACAGTTAAAATCTTCTTGACTTCTTCTTCTCTTTCAGTCACTTTTTCATCAGATGAAGTCTCCTTAATCCCTTCTTCCATGACTGCTTTGAGAACTTCAGTAATAGTTTCATTTTCAAGTGAAAATTCAGTCAACTCAGAAACTGAAATAGAAGTCGATGTTTCTGTGTCCAAATTTTGGTCTTGGACAGGCTCACTTCTTATTCTCAAGGCAGCAGCTATTTTTTTATAAACACATTTATTATTAAAAAAATACGAGCTCTGCTCGCTCTCCAAGGGTTCCCCATTGAGAAGAATAACTGCACAATGTATAAAGAAAGAATAACCAAGATGCTTATATCTATATCAATTCTCTACATTAAATAAGTCTATTTATAAGGCTCATATTTATATTTTATATTGCATTATTATTTGGCCCTCCCTTTATCCACTCTTTGATAATATGATAATTGGCTTAAACTTTTATTTGTATGAAAATATAGATAGTAAAAAATGTCTTTAATAGTAATTCTAAAAATATGATAAGATATAAATTTTCAAGTGTAGAGGTTAAAGCATAGAATTAGCTAAATAAATTTGAGAGAAGTAAATAAGACATATATATATAAGTTAAAGAAGAGCTTTATATACTACATTCTTTGTGCTGTCTATATCCTTTTGCATGGCTACATATACATTCATTGGATCTGTTGCTCTTGACAATGCAACATATAGCTGTCCATGCGAGAAAACTGGATGGTCAAGATAGACTCCAACATGAGACAATGTTTGGTCTTGTGCTTTGTTTATTGTTATTGCAAAGGCAGCACGGACAGGAAATTAGTGATATGACAGTATAAACGGTAGTTCCCCTTCCTTTGTTGCCATATTGAACCTAGACAGGAAATGTTCTATTCCATTGTGTCCTTGATCCAATCTTTTTACACCAATGATATTCTGGATGAGACAGACAACAAACACTTTGGTGCCATTGCAAAGGTCAGCTTCTGGATTGATATTGCACATGATAAGAAGAGGCATACCAACTTTCAACTTGAGTATATGTGGTGCAATTCCACTAAAAGTGAGTAAGTTGAGGAACTCAACTGGATATCTGGCATTGTCTGCATCTGGGTCATCAGAGTCCATGACTGTATCCAAAGAAGTATACACATGGTCTTCTCCATGAAACATCTTAAGAGAAACTTTGTTAATCCGACTGATCATGAGATTTGTTGGAGCAAGAATTGCATTTTTGCTATAGTAGCAAGGCTCATTAGAAAAATAACAATAAATATACATAGGAAAATTCAGGCTTACTATTGTGAATATTCCGCATTTTACAGTGGGGTTTTGCCTATTTCCACTGGTACAAAAGCTAATGTGGTGATCCAGACACTTGGTTGTTGGATTTATTACATCTAAGAACATATTCCTATTATTATAGTAAAACAGCTATCATTACAAGAACAAATGAATAATTTATTTATTTTACTTATGGTAAATCAATAAGACCAATAATTAATTACAGTAAGTGCTGTAATTATGACAGCTCAGTAAGCACTGAGTTAATATGAGGACACTGCAATTAGATTAAATTATAAACATAGCAGTACCAGCTTTCTAATATCTAAATGAACTCAGACTTAAGAAATTAAGATGTGACTGACAAAGCAGATCGTGTTTTGATATAAAAAGGACAACTATGTATCCTTTAATAAAGACAACCTATATACAGTCTCAAAGTATTCTTATATACGTCTCAATCCTTTTACTGTTGATTTTATTCTATAAAACTTCACAGCTAATCTGGTTACATGTGCACAGACCTGCTATCTACAAGTGTAAAGTTTGATAGCATTAGTGAGGTTGAGGTTAATAGTAATTTTATATCTTTGTATATAATAGAGTACCAAGAAAACTTTATTTCAAACTTTGTTTTTTGCTGTGATATGATCTGTTTCCATGTTAAAGGTTAATAATCAGGGACTACGTCACATGTGTATTGTTGAACTATCCCTGGGTGAATAGTTAGAACCACGGACCTTTTATTGCTTATAAGCCAATCATTAACACTCTTTATTATGAGAGCATAGATCATCTGCTCCCCCAATTACTTGATATTCAATTATTATTGATTTGAATTATAGTTTATTTTTGTATTTATTAGAGAAAATAGAATGATTCTAGATTGATAGTATTGAAATAATATTATATGTCTTGGGCCGTCATCACCAATATCCTTCATATGACTCAAATCAAGCAGTGCTTTATATATAATGTTTGTAAGCCCTCATATTCAGTAGTTATCTTTGGCACAGATACTATTTAACATAATAGAAGAGAAGTTAAATGCGTATTTAAATATATACATGTTGTGAGTGATATATTAATTTGAGGATACATACAATATAATGACTGAAGAAGATAAAAATAAAACTTTGAGAGTTTGAGGCATGGTGTTAAGTATAATTTCTTTGACAATGAAAATAATATAGAGAAGTTAGTTTGAGTGAATTTGGTGACAGAATATTTAATGAACATATCTGAAGAAAGTCAATTTATTTGTAGACCTAGATAGTACTTGTCAAGAGTTGATATAATCTTTAGTAAAAAACATAAATTAATATACAGTATAAATAATACTATCATTCATATTAAGAGAATAAAAAAAGAAGTCTTACTATGTCAATGACGTTGCCAAGAGATAGAGGTTCTTGATTCATTGCGTGTTTGGCAGATGAACATTCATCTGTAATAAAAATTATATTCTGTCAGATAAATATTAAAAGTAAATAAAAAATAAAATATTACCGTGTTGATGGTCTTGTTTAATTGTAAGGAATATTTTTTGGCAATATTGTCTATAAAAAAGAAGGGGAAAAGTCAGAATAATTTTTATAGGATGATGACATGAAGTATAGTTACTAACTTGGACTAATCCGGATGGCCATTGTAAAGAGAATACATCAGAAGGAAAAAAACATGCTAGTATCTATGACAACTGAAATAATTATTATTATTTAGCTACATTTGAAGAAAAGAATTGTTTTAAAAAAAAAGAACATATGTTACCAAAAAAGTTTGCAATTATAGTAAAACACTAAGAGAGTATATATGTATCTATAGACAACAGAATTTGTTAATCTTGTTATTGTCTGCACAGAAGTGTTTTTAAGAAGAATGTATCTTACCAGTAAAATTTACAGTTATAAAAAAAATCAGAAAGAGAAAGAAAAGAAAAGAAAATAGTTGATAAGGAAAAATATGGAAAAATATGGAAAAATAAAAAAAATAAGTAAATAAAATACAAAAAAAAACAAAATAGATAATTAAAAAAAAATGAAACTCAAAATAAAATATCCAAAAAGCATAATAGATATAATGATGTAATATCTAAAAGCAATCTTTGTATCAATTTACATAGTGTTTGTACAAGAAGTTACTTTAGATATATTCTTATAACCAAGATCAATCAAGACTAGAAATCCTTTTTTTTGGAAATATAAATATACATTTTTGCTACAATCTTACTTACCCTTGCTCACGCACTCTTACAATTATTCTTACTTATACTCACACTTTCTCTCTCTATCTCTCCATCTTTTTCTGTCTTTTATTTTGGTATGTTTGATAATAAATATAATTGTAGTGTATAATAGAAATTTATTCAAAAAATATAAAAACATTAACAGTTAACACATATTTGAGCTTATATTTTTAAATTAATAGAAAATGTCTAACCAAAATGAAAGCTATCCCACTTGACGCACTCCTGCTGAAAGAGAGATGACAAACTCTCTTGTCATCTTGCATTGTGTCATGACTACTGTCATAAAAGACATTGCTGATATCAAAGCAAAAACTTTGGACACTTCTGTATCTGCTGTTTTGCAGAGTCAGCCGATGGCTTTAGTGCATACTGTTCCTCTTGTGAGCATGGAAATAAATGTAGCTGGTTCTCCCATCATAGCTTTTGATGCAAGATCAGTTAACAAAACAAAAGTCTATGTATATGTCATACATATAGTAAATTATATCTTTAATAACTTACCAAAATTCAATAGAGACTTCTTTGAGATCATTCGTGAGACTCTAAGTTCAAGGCAAAACATTTGGTTGAAATGCAAGTTAACAATGACTGTTGTATCCAACATAATTGTAGATTTAAATTAAAAGTATAGACACTCAATAAATATGTACATTGAGTTACCAACAACTAGTAACGATACTAAAAGATATACCTTCTCTTATACAAGAAAATTACGTAAAGAACATATAAAGACAAATACTAAGACTCTAGTCAATAACACTAAAAACATAAGAACTAAATCATAGAAGATAATGGTAAAGAAACAGACATTACATGATATCATCATATCATTTCCAAGCTAAATGCAATGTCTATATAAATGCACAATACAAATAGCAATAGAAGATCATCTTCTTTCTGATTCTTTTACTTTTTCTAATAAAACAAAGTCTTACCATACTCTTGTCTGCACTTGTTTTATTTTATATCTTATTTTTATCTCATACATAACAATGACAAGCTAAGATGAAACACGGCTGTCAACTTCAATCAGTCACCAAACACTGAGTTGACAGAAAACCTCATTGCCTACTTGGAAAGAAATTTCATAGGAGAAGGACTGAGAGAAAGTGATGTTCGTAACTTTGTCTACATGAACTTCACTAGCAGAAAACGTGCAGCTAAAAAGTCTCAGACTAAAAAGAAGTCAGAAAATGCTTGCAACAGAAGGAGTAGCCGCGAAAAGGAGGTAAGTTATACTTTATTTATTTATTATTTGAATAATTCTTATCTAAGTCATTAATTTAAAGCAAAAAAAGAAAACTAATTTAATATTTTTAACAGCATTTGAAACGTTGCAAAACAGTGTACTGTAAGGAACCTCCAATTGGTCTTGACCTTTAGACCAATCATAACTGATTCCATCTTTTATATTCTCTGACCAATTAAATCATTGTATTCATTCCCATAGACAGAACACTTATAATACCAATCATAATTATATCTTATAAATAGCAGACATAAATATATTCATATAAATATCAGTAGAGCTTGATCATAGAAAGATCAAGCGAACAATTTCTTTAATAAAGGAATCTATCTATATTTCTCTGTCTGTTTTCTCTGCCCTTGTTCCTGTCCAGATCGGTTCCTGACACGTATCAGTCTAACAAGACTGATATTGATGACAAGATGAAAAGAGATCGCTCTGGTCTCATTATAGAAGAGGCTATGTCTGTTGGTGAGTCAGACGATGGCACTTTGCCTCATGTTTCTTATAGTGGGCTTCGTCTTTGTCGTCCAGATTAGAGAAGTGATGAGGTAATTAGTTTTTTGAAAGTTGAAATATTGAATTTAGTTAATATATTATATTGTATTATACTGAATAAAATATTAATGTCTTTAATATAGTACAACCACTTCATCACACTTGTTGACAAGAAAGTGGTAGCTGATTTAGGCTCAAATAGCCATCAATTGCTGTCACATGCTTTTGGCAAAACCATTGAAGGACCAGTTTCTGATGCAATTGTGTCACAGTTTCCTCAGTGAGCTCTTAGAAACGGGCCCTAAATAAAGTTTATATTTTTGCTCTTTTTTTTTTCATTAATAACGTCTTATATTTTAAATAACCAAAAAAATGCATAAAGAGGCATTACTTGTACTTTGTTTTTTATTTAATTATTCTCATAAAAAATCATAGTGCTTAATTATTCATAAAGGCTTCAGGCATAATATTTTTTGGCATAGGAATGACCAGCATTCTTTCTTTATTCATATCAGTTACATCTACAGCAGTTGCGACCTCTAAGTGTATGCGATGTACAGACAAGATGCTGTGATAATTATCAGTGGAGAAATCTAGCAAGCAGATTGCAATACCTTCATCTCTGTGTTCATTGTCATTTGTCAAATTATACCATCAGATGTATGCAAAAACATGCTGGTCTTGATGTAATGTTGATGCTCAGTGGTTAGGATGGGGTGGCAGAGTAAATAAATGTATAAAAAGATACTGAATTTGTCCAGTATATAGACTTGAAGTTTGGCCATTGCTGCTATGGAAGAAAGCTTAAATGAGTGACCTGCACTTATCAGAACTGTTGTTTTCAATATATGTTTGGCCAAGAAGATCAATTGATTTCAGTTTTGTGATTCGGTTATTTACAAAATATTGTGACAATCTGGCATTGTAGTAAGAAATGAGATTGGGCATGGCATAGGCGATTTTATAATAATCTAACAATTGAGGATAATCAATATCACTCATTGTTGATTCTTTTAAGGACTGTAAAAGAAAGGTGGACGGGGGGAGTGGTTCATTGCCTTTGATAGGTGCTGCTCAACTTAAGGATGAGTCTACAAATTGTTGCGATTGGAAAGATTGTTGGTTGGTTGGAGCATAAGTGGCATAGGTCGTTATAGGTGCGGTTGTGGAGGTAAGTTTTTCGAAAAGAGGAAGGAATGGAATGAGGCTTGGACATGATAACATATTTCGTACGTAATCAGCTTTGTATGCGTCTGCAGTGAATTTTGTCATATAGGTTGTTTCAAACCTGTCTTTTCTGTTTGTCTTGTTATTCTTTAACAAACTATTGTATCTCTCAAAACCAAAGAGCCAATAGTCATACACGGGTCCAAAATCACAAATTTTGTCATGAAGATGGAGATGCAGGTGCATGTTGTAGGTGAGGACTTTTGGCTCATATGTATCTTCACAAGATTGACAGAATTCTTGTAGATATCTGTGTACTTGATCTATTTCGATAAAACTGATTGACAGCTTTACAAGTACACAGCATGCTTTTACATAGTGCATCCAGCCATTGAATATATTGGACAGAAGAACTGGTTTTAGAAGCATGGGAGAGTACACCAATATCCAAGACTTCCACTCATCTGCTTTAATGTGAGAAAAGTCCTTTCCTATCTTCGTTTTCAGCTTGGTATAGTCACTGGACAATATCATCATTGCTGCAACTGTCTGCATTGCAAGCAGATTATTGTTTTTCATTTTTTTGATTTTTGTCTATGTTTCAATCAATCTCTTTGGTGTTCCCAGAAAAAGATTATGCATGGGATGAATGATCGTTCTATGTACTAGATCAAAGTATCCAAGGCGATACAACTGCAACCATCGAACACCATTTTTGACCTTCAGCCAATGCCTTTCTGAGGGGTACTAGCACTTTCCCACTCCTCAGCATGCAACCTGTTCTCTACACTGTCACGAAGCACCCACCAAGAGAAGTCAAACCCACAAAAGTCAATATTGACCCCATTTTCCAAGCGAGGGAAATGTCTGTTGCACTTGTAACATGTGCATGTACTGCTGTGCAAGGTGAACCCACCTGACTTTCTTGCTGCCGGGATGTCACAGGCCACCATCATCAATGCAGCATAAGCGCGGACACCACTAGGACACTCGAAAGTTGGGATTGCCAGTCCCTCATACAATCTTATCAGATCATCTACCATAGGCTGGAGATAATGGTTTATCTCTTTGGATTTGGGTTCCTTCAGGCCAGGCATCAATCCTACAAGAAGTGCGTTCTCTGGCTTGTATCTTTCATTGCAAGGCAGATTATTTACTACCAGGTATATGGCACCAGTTGAGTGCATGACATTATTGAAAGGTTGAAACCAGTCGATGTTGAGAGTGAACATTAATGAACGCAAATCCTTTGTAAATTGCACATCATCTTTGTCTTTAAGCTCCTTTCACATGGCACCATTGTATATGTCACACATTGTATCCACCATCTTCAGCTCATGATTCCAATGTCTAATTTTATTCTCGAATCCTGAACAAAGAAAAAACATTCATAAAGTATTAATAACAGACTGGTACAAGTATGAACGCTTGGCCACCAAAGCACCTGATGCTGATGTTTTTGTCAATTGGCAGTTGCAAGACGAGTGTACATCAAGCTTTACAAAATCACAATGAGATAGGACAGGTACACTTTCTTTGTATACCTTGTGACAATCCTGACACACAACAAATTTCTTTATGCCTTTAGTCATGGCTGAGAAATCTGTCATGTGCTGAAGACCAGGAAGGCTCAAGGGCAGTTGGAAATCCTGCTCATAAATTGTCAAGAGCTTGTTGATGAGCTTGATCAAGACAACGTGTGGTGATCCAGACACTCGGATGTTGGATTTATCACATATAAGAACATATTCATATTGGGATAGTGTAGTAGCTATCATCTTGTCAGTATAAAATATATATAAATGATTAAGTAATCAGCCCAATAATTATTATAGTTAGTACTGTAGATAATATCTTAAAGCTTGTTAAGATAATTATATCATACTGCTAGGTAAACTGTGTCAGATTGATATGAAGCTAATTTAGTAGGAAGTCCTAAAGCTCTAGTATAAAAGAGAAAAGAATAGCTAAGAGCTAAAGAAGTACGATTTATGACTTGATGTCATAATTGTAACACCAACACTAGTTAAGCAGTAAATACACTCTAATAATCAAATATAGTAAAGGGAGAAAGCCTTAAGAAACTAAGACGTAATGACAAGAGCAGATTGTTTTCTTATAAAAAGGGATACTTTTTATTTATGAATAAAGACAACTTATATACAGTCTCAAAGTATTTCTATATGTCTCTATTATCAAATATTTTATTTTTCTATTGTTTTGTACCTGAAATATCACACAACAGTGCCCTTGTCAACCAAATAGCGGGGAGCAAACATCACCACAAAAGTAGCAATGAACCTGTGCACTAGGTTCTGGGGCATATCGGGGGTGGCAAAAGGGTCTATTATAAAAAAAATTAATGCTATTTTTTTTTAATTTTTTAACATTAACTGACCTTTACTATTCAATTCATTGTTGTCAAGCCCAATAACATTGTCTTCGCTTTCATCTTCACTGATTTCATTGCTGTTGCTTCCACTGTCACCATTGTTGTCATTGCTGATTGCATCATTAGTAAAAGAAACGTCTTCAGTGTCAGACATTGAAGCTCCTTCCAAAACAGGTGAGTTTTTCTGAGTGTACAATTCTTCCAGGGCTCTGGGTTGCTGGGTTTAGATAGCTACATTCAGAATATAACACTTGGTTAATATCTAACAGTATCTGAATTAAATAAACCTTATGTTCATCATTGACCTCCATCATATTTCTTTGGGTAAACATGTCTATTACAACATGTTATTTCATGGATTACAATACAATAAAATAAATTCAGATATTGTACCCCTTTCACATCTTATGGCATTTAGTCTTGCCCTTTTGTTATGACGTTGAGCAGTTCTTCTGGCAACAAAACTATAGCTGAGATTGTTCTGACTACATCCAGCACAATGACACTTTTTGCTGTAGAGTTCAGGAATTGTGGACATAATGTTTATTTTTTTTTACTTTGAAGTGTTAAGAAAAAAAGGAAACAAGTATAACATTTACTAAATTTACTATGTTTTTATAATAAATTGTTATGTCTTTATAATAATAAAAATAAATAATATTTTTGTCTGTTGTATTTAAGCCAATAGAAAACCGAAAAACAGTGTTTTCATTTTGAACACACAAAAAAAGCTGAGATGAAAAAATACTCCAGATTTTCTATTGTTATAATTTAACTTTGTACATAGTAATTTCCGTATGTTTTTCTAGTGCAAGTTAATTGGTTCAGTTAAATATAGTGAGAAAATAAGAAGATATTTAGTTGTGTGAAGTTATTTTTGACAAAATAATATCTTTTCATTGTACTTATTGGTGTTTTGCTCTTCAAATAAAAAAATTGCTTTCTATTTAGCCTCGGCTTCCATTAGAAAATAAAGGCATAATAGAATATAACTTTTCTAGGATTATAAAGAATTCTTCAATGTCACTGCACTGCTGAACAACCAAAATTTTGTTGAGTATTTATTATTTTATAACATTTCATGTCAAAAATATGATGCTTGATGTGTTTGTTTGTTGTGAATTGTAATAGTATCACTTGGCAAATAAATGTAATGTAAATTACGAAATACAAGAAGGAGAATAAAATAAGGATAGAAAAGAATTGGTAATTTGACAGATAAGAATTGGGGACAGACAGATAGAAAAAATAAGAAGAAGATGAAAATAAAAACTGTGACAATGACAAAGTTTTGTAAAAGACAAAAAAGAGAAAACAGAGAAACAAAATATATCAAGATCAACAGACAACACTTCAAAAAACAAGGACACTGTATATGAATGAATAATAATGATAATAACAGACAAAAATAAATAAGATCAAGGATAGAATGATGATTTTATTGATTGAAAAGATTGTTCCTTTTATAAACAGAAATGTTTGGTTAAAATCATTTTTTGAGAGAAAGAAAAGAAAGTCAAGTAAAAATTTTACTACATGTAACTGATGTTGATAGTAGAAGTGAAATAGAAAAATATAGAGAGAATAAAATAAAAGTATAGTAAAAATATAGTAATTGAATAAAGGTAAGATAAAAATATAGTGAATTAGAATAGAAGTAGGATAATAATATAATAACAATGTAGTAAAGTAAAGTAAAAAATATAATAATAGTATAATAATAAAGTCTAATAAAAATGTAATAAAAAAAATATTGTAAATAAATATTGGTAATAAAGAAGTGCATAAAATTAGAGGAAAGAAGTATAATTTTTAGTGGGTGACAGGTGTTTCTGAGATAATGATATAGATATGTATTCTAATTATTCAAGAAACGGAATGAAATTGGGGGTTTAGGTATAAGGGGTATCAGAAACAAGATTTCCCAAGAAATCTGGGGAGACCACTCCTGTCCCTCAAGACACATCACTTGGTCAACTCACCGTCAATGTCAACATCCATGAGTCTGGTACCACCTGTCACAGCTCACCACCAGACCAAACCTTGGAAGGAACCCACCATCTGGTGTCCATCATCAGAAACTGGCTAACGCCTAATAAACCTATAACACATGTGGCAAATATGATGTGTGGTATGTTAGGTTTGTTGTAAATTATAACAAATTACTTGGCAAATAAAATACAATGATAATAGAATAGAACAGAAGATGGATACAGCAAAAGGTGACACACAGCAATAGTTGACAGATAAGAAAAGAGAGAACAACTGATAGAATCGTTGTTAAAATTGAGAGAGAGAGAAAGGTATATGAAAAGAGAATGATGAAACAGAAAAGTAATAACTGACAAGGAGACCAAAACTAACAAACAACCTTCCTAAAACCAAGGAACTGATATGTTATATCGCAAGATGGTGTAGACCACAAAGAGAAGAAAACAAGAAAAAGATACTGAAACTGAATTGAATGATTTATTGAGTTGAGTTTGCTTCTCTTTTTATAGTCAACAAAATTTTAAGTTGATAATAGAAGTTTGGAAAAATAAAGATAGTAAAAATAGAATGATGAATAATCAATACAGCAAGGATAAAATATATGAATAAAAATATAGTAAAAATATAATAATAAAGGTACTGATGTTGCGCGGAGATGTCGGCAAGATGAATTATGTGCATTGTAGAAGAGGAATGTTACTAGCATGGAGGAGCATGATTTCAAATGAGTACAATGTAGATGAATATGTTAACAAGGGAAAAGGAAAAAAGTATTGTGTATAGAAGAAACAGGGAACAGAAACGAGATTTTTACTGTGCACAGAAAAATTATCCTCTTGCCACCGAGGGCACAGCACCACATCAACAAACTGTTGACGTCAGCCTCTCATAACCGGGACAACACATCACAACAAACTGCTGGACAAACCCACCAAGCAGACTGACCTTCCAGTACTGGACACCACAACATGGCTAAATGTCGGATTTGTTTATAACACATGTGACAACATGTAAGCCCCCGTGGCGTAATTGGATAACGCTTCAGACTTCTAATCTGAGGATTGCGGGTTCGACCCCCGTCGGGGGTGTACATAGTGAATGTATTCACTATGGAAAAACTTTTACAACTGTTTTTTGGACTTGTCATGCTTAATTTTGTGGATACTGTCGTTCCTGATCTGGGTTGGTCTTCCTTTTACTATAACAAAGTCAAAAGGTCAAACCCACTGGGGGTCAAGGAGTATATGTAAAATCAAAGAGAAGATAAAAGATACTTTTTATTGGTATAAATTGAATTGTCTTATATAGTTTTCTAAACTAATACTGCGCATTATCCGCAGTAGCTATTATATTATATCTAAGTAAAAGAAGAGTCATTATACTGCGGTTAATGCTCAGGAAAATGTTACTGTGCATAAAGAGGTACTGCGGTTAACCATCTTCAGATTTTATGGATTCATCAAAATAATGTCCAACAATACATATTCTAGTGACTTGTTCTTACTGTTAAGAAGGAAGGTTGTGGTGAACCCTATTTTGTGGATCTGCTGTGACTGGCCAATGCCTCATATACAGGATTTTAACTGCAAAATAGTGATTTTTCCATTTAATATAGTGACATTCCCAAATTAACTTAGGCAAACTCCCAAGTTGATTTAGGCAAATTCCCAAGTTAATTTAGTGAAAAGCCCAAATTGATTTAGGCAACCTCCTAAGTTGTTTTTTTTTGCTGTTACATGTAAAATCAATGTAAATTATAAAGAATGCAAAAAGTGATATCAATGCAAGATGTTTTTATTTTAATAAATTTCTTTACAATATTGGCAACTGTTAAAAAAACTAATGCTGTGTTGGACCCAGCCTTGGCAGTTTTCTCGTTATTTGTGAGCTACATTCTGACAAGTATACCAGAAAGTCATCAGTATCTAACCCTGGCTTTCTCTTGGCCAAACCCTTTAGCTTTGAGAAGCTCTCTTCTACTAGATTCAAGAATGGCAAGTAAGGTAGCAAGAACTTGGTGTGGTGTTATGTTGTCGCCATAAAGTCTCTGACCAAATGGGATCTGTGGATGGGAGCATTGTTCAGGATGAACCACTGGGGAACAGCATTGATATTGTCCAGTGTTTTTATGATTGTCTTTAAGAACTTGATGAAAAGTTCAATGTTGGTGCCTTTTGGAACAAGCTTAGCTGACATGCTCTTGACACCATTGTTTGATATTGCTGCCAAGATGCTGATGTTGAGTGCCCTCTTGGTGTTAGTACATACAATGGTGTTCTTCCCCTTCTTCAATCACCCTTGTTGGCATATGAGATTAACATTAAATCCAGCTTCGTCAATAAAAATACAATTGGCTACATATGCAACCCCAAGTTCTGGAAGAGACTCCACAAATTTTCTCCTTGCTTCAATAACATCCGGGTCGTTTCTCCTCTCCTCCACAGCCTTGGTTCGCTTTAAGGTGAACCCAATATTGTTCATTATATGACAGTATAGTATGCTGAACATTATGTCTTTTTCTTGTAAGTCATCAAAGCATTCGTAAAGCTTTTCTCTCATCATCTCAAGAGTCAATGTGCAATCTTCATCTAGGATCTCAATGAGATATTCTGAATGTTCTTCCATGATTTTTGTACATTCCTTCTTTCTGCCACCTCTTTGCTTGACCACGATCTTTCCATTATCTATGAAACTGTTCTTTATGTTATCTACAGTAGATCTAGAAAGGCTAAACATAGAAGCAACTTTTACAACTGACTTATGATATTTTTTTATGGTCAAGTCAACAATTCTCTTGTATAAAGTCATAAGAATTCTTTTATTCTTCTGCTTTGTTCTTCTTCTAGACTTCTTTTTGCCACTAGAGCTTTGGGCTGTAATACTTTGGGATGTAGGATTTATAATAAAAGGTTAGAGAAAGAAGAATAGGAATTGTGTTGAAACACCACTATATATAAGTTTGATAAGAAAAAATGCCAGTCATTTAACAAGGCATACATATATTACATGTGCTACATACTACTGATAGGTGTAACATAAATTAATTTAGTATTTAAAGAGTGATCAAACACTTTAGCAGAAGTTAGTTTTTTATTCTTTTACAAAATTAATAAATAACAAGTAAATCTGATGTATCGTGTTTTAAGAGTTATTTTACCACAGGAATAATGAAAAGATATAAAGTATAGATGAATCTTTAGTTAAATGTTTATATAGATTTTGCTTCATTTAGTTTTGCTTCATTTTATTTTGTTTATTTTTTTTTAAAAAAAAGCTTCTTGTTCTGTATTTTGTATAATAATTAATGTCGTTTTTCATATCATTTATTTTTATTTTAGCTTTAAAATGTTTGATAGCTAAATCAAAATGATATTAGCTATACAATATTGATTTTATATGTAACAGCCAAAAAAAAAACAACTTGGGAGGTTGCCTAAATCAACTTGGGAGGTTGCCTAAGTTAATTTGGGAATGTCATGCGAAGTTTTATAAAATAAAATCAACAGTAAAAAGATTGAGACGTATATAAGAATACTTTGAGACTGTATATAGGTTGTCTTTATTAAAGAATATAAAGTTGTCCTTTTTATATCAAAACACGATCTGCTTTGTCAGTCACATCTTAATTTCTTAAGTCTGAGTTCATTTAGATATTAGAGAGCTGGTACTGCTATGTTTATAATTTAATCTAATTGCAGTGTCCTCATATTAACTCAGTGCTTACTGAGCTGTCATAATTACAGTACTTACTGTAATTAATTATTGGTCTTATTGATCTACCATAAGTAAAATAAATAAATTATTCATTTGTTCTTATAATGATAGCTGTTTTACTATAATAATAGGAATATGTTCTTAGATGTAATAAATCCAACAACCAAGTGTCTGAATCACCACATTATCCCCACCCAGGTATTAATTAAATATCGTTCAAGTACTTTATGCATTTTATATATATATATGAGTACTGTGGTACTCAAATAACTCTTTATTTAGATCTTACTGTGTTTCTTCTTTTGCAAAGCTGTCATTGTATAGCTCTTTCTTTTTATATCTGACTTTTCTTTGGATATGGAATTTACAACTTTCATATCCTTCAATAATCTTTTATTAGCTTTGTTGATGTCTTTGATACTTTCTGGTGCTTCCCCAATTCTTTGCCAGTATTCCTTAATGAATTTAGGAACAGTAAAGTAATCCTCTGGCTCCCAGGTATCATGAGACTCATCATAGTCCAACCATTTGCATCTATACAAATAATTGTTCATATCATCTTTCTTATGACCAATAATTGCTTCGACTTCAAAAAAATCATTCTTTTGCTCTAATATCTTATTCGACACTTTTTTTAATAAAGAAGGGGGGTAATTCTTTGGTTTTAAAAATCCCTTTTCATTTTTCAATACATAAGTATTGGCAGCAGTCTTTCGAACAACAGTATAAAATCCCTTATACTTTGGATCTAATTTATTCTGTTTTTCTGTCACCAAAATCATAACTATAGTTCCTGGAACCAGATCTATCATTTTGTGACTCGTGTCAAAATGTTCCTTTTGCTTTTGTGTGATATGCTTTACGTGTTCAAACACGGCAGGGTAGACTATCTCAGTCATTTTTTTAATTATTTCTTGCAATTCTTTCTGAATCTGTTCAGCAGTTGCACTACCACTGCAAAAAGAGGGCCAATTCAGTATACTAAATCTTGACCAAATACTGTCTGAATGAATAAAATTCAGCATGAATTCAATCGGAATTTATGATGCCAATTTTTTAAAATTCGTGAGCTAAATGAATACAATTAGTATACTGAATTTTAGGAACGCAAAAAGAAAAAGTGTGATATACTTTTATGTGATATATTTTGGTTGTGAAAATATAGACACACTTTTATCAGACCGCAGATTTTTCATTTTATATTGGTTTTGGGGGTTTTTTTAAATACAGCACATAACATTCAACATCTTTTTATTACTATATATAGGTTGTTAAAGAAGAGATTTGGTCAAGATTTGGTCAAGATTTAGTCAAGATTTAGAGGTTTATGGGTCATTTTAAAGGTTTTTATTGGTTTAAAAAGATTTTCTTATTGTTTCTAGCTGTTTCTATTCATCTACATCACTAATCATCTCCTGTTGCAATTGGGTAGAAACATCACACTCATGATGCCGTCATTTATTTTAGTGGATATTGTATTATTCCTTTTGTATATCCATTAGTCCACCCCTGGTGCAATCGACCCCTACTGTATTCCATTGCTTGCTGCGGCATGCCTTCTTGGCCTGTTTGTTTACTTTTATAAAAAATAATTATAGGGTGGATTAGAAAGAATGTTCTAGGTATATTTATTTGAGAGTGACAGATTATTTAAAAAAAATGAATGTGCTTACAATAAAGTTAAACACGAGAACAGATGGATGTCTTTAATATAAAGATAGATATATCAACATTTTAGTTAAATGTCTCAATTATAGTAATATTGTCTATAAAAATAATAACTTTTGTTAATACGATGCAAAGTAAATAAGACTATGGTTTGCTTACCAGACAGTTCAGAAAACAGAAGAGTTGACAAACACAAAATACAATGACATTGTCTATAAAATATAATCTTTTATTAGAATGAAATAAAGAGTATCAGACTATTTTTTGCTTACCAATTATTCAATACAATAGAAGAGGCAGCATGCGGGAAATGGAAATATTATCTATAAAATAATTTCTTTTCATTAGAATTACATACAAAGAAGTAGAATGATTATTTACTTACTTGTCTGTCTGTAGAGAATAAGAGTCGGTGTATAATCAAAAAAAGAGGACCGAGATAAAGACCAGTGACTATAAAGTGTATGGTATACATAAGAAAAATAATAAATACAAGTTGTATCTTGAAGGTGTATGTTAATATTTATACAACATACCATTTTGTAAACCCTCCCAAGGTATATGTCTTTGTTAACAGGCCAGAAAAATCTAAGCAGAATAATTAATACATAAATCATGAATAAATATTCAAGTATATTTTTATTACCTTTTTATCATTACTTTTGAGGCAGTTAAGAAGGACTTGGTGGTTTAAAGCATAGTGTATCATGCTAGAATAAAAACAACAAGATGATTAGGTCTTGAAACTTTGATGTGAGTTGATGCTTACCATGTTAGACATTAAGAAAGAAGTAAAGAAGAAGAAAGAAAAAATTAAAAAAAAATGGGGGAAATTCAAAATTATAATTTTATCACCGTTGACCCTGAGAAACTGATAGAATCAATGGAGCAAATTGAAAGTCAGTCAACCCATCCCAATTGAGACAAGACATTACATACTAAACCATAATCTCTCACATCTTTGTAATAGATGTAAGCTATTACAAATGCCTTTCCAAGTCGGCTTATAAAGAAAAGTATAATATAGAGATCAAAATGCTATAAAGAACATCATCAGAAAAATAATCTTTTGGTGCCTTACTTTCCACCTTTACATATGTTTTGATTTATTTTATTATTTTAAAGAAACCCGACTCTAATTATTAAAGTATTCACATTGTTTCCATTTCTTTCATTAGTCTTAAATATCTCAATTCATGTTTTCTAATACGCAGCAATCCAAAAAAACAAAAAAGACGACTACAAAAAGTCTGTTCAACAAACCGCTGGGACAGCAGCAAGCACAAGACAACAGGAAATTCTTCCCAGCTTGACAGTTAGCGCAGAGCTAGATGGTACTGTCCTGTCCACTTTGTCCACCATGAGCACCCGACTGAATGAATCTCATTCACTTCTGGAGAAGGTCTACCACAACATGGGAGCAACCAATGGCCAGAATAACAATTCGAACCATAGTCCCATCGGTCAGGCTCTTACTACAGGAGAATATATAAAGTACTGCCTTCCAACGGTTTTGGTAGGATATATACTAGTAATAGAATATTGCAAAGTTACTTACATTATATTTTGCAGAGATTGATCTGTTCTCAAACACGAGCAGTTCTGGCAACAATGCCATTGATGGTCAATGAGGGCGCCTTCTCGACATCCAACCGTCCCATCGCTGATGTAGTGCAGAGCTACACACATCAGCAAGCTGAAGTAAAGTCTGTTTCGTCTGCAGTTGTGGAAGAGAAAACCCGAAGACATATTTCGTATATGTTTCAAAGGGCAAAAGCTTTGCCAGAAAAGATAGCTCAACAAAATCGGATTTCTTGACGCCGGTCCAGAAAGAGAAATGTAAGTATAGTCAACAGTTTTTGTGTAGACTATTTTAACTTTTTTTTTCAGATTCTTACAGACTACAAGGCAATTCACTTAGCTGACAAGGCAAACCTTGAGTCTAAGTTTGGTGAGACTGTCGTTGACCTTCTGGACTATGACATGTTATCTGATATTGAGTCAGATGAGGAGAAAAATAAAACTAGATATACTCCTAGAAATAGACATCTCTTGGTAAGGCTCTCATGATAAAAGTTATTTTTTTTAATACTTCTAACTCAAAAGTATTTATATTATAATGCAGGTGGATGAATACTTTACTGTTTTGAAGAAACAGAGACTTGCTAACAAGGGACCAGATGTCATTGACAATTCTGTCTATCCAATTATTTTGAGAAACACCGAGTTATCGAATGAGAAAAAGGCACGTGTTGCTGCTTGGATTCACACACGCCAACAATAAATTGTTATTTTGTTTACAAAGTGAATATAGTACTTTAATGATTTTTATTGATTGTGTTGAATGATGTGGGGTGAAGTGGTAAAATATAATCAGGCGGTATTGTCAAGATGAGAAGCAATTAATATATAAATAAAAGGAAAAAGAAAAAGACAAAATCAAAAATCAAAATAATAAATTATTATTTTATTTTATTTTATTTTATTTTATTTTAAAGCCAATTAATAAAAAAAATATATATACAAAGCAATTATTTAATTATATAACCCTGATTGTTTTATCCTCGTTTTTTTTTATTGGAAATTATAATACCGATATTAGCAAGAATATGTAATAAAGGCAAAGAAAATGGTAAATGTCGGGTATTAAATATACAAGTTTTTTTGTCTTTTATATTATTGATAAAAGCAAGAGAATTAAATAATGGTTTTTACTATTCGTTAATAGTTAAAAAAACTGGTAATATAATTTACTATTGCTCTTTTAAATACTTAATAAAGTATTGTTAAAACTAAATAAGAATACAGAGATAAATAAAGCTAAACCTTTTTACAGTCAAAAAAACTTGTATTATAATTATTTATACTGGTAACCTAAATAGTTGTTATTTTTTTATGTGACTACTTTTCTAGGCAGTGGAATAACCAGGTGCTTTTGCGTCCCACTCTGCATTTTATGCGTAGTCAACACAAAGCACAAATGCAGACGATGCACTGGAACAATGCACGAAGCATCTTCTTCCATAAATCCCTTGTCCCACAACTGCAGACCTTGATCAGCTAATGGCTGATGACTACTTGAATGGTAGGCAGGAAACCATTTAATGAATGCGAACGTTGACACTCTTTTGACTCCACCGATCTTGATGGTATGAGTAAATAAATACTCTATTTGACCAGGGAATTCAGATACATCGTCATTTGTTCTCTCAAGAAACAATACCCTCACAAAAGACCCGCACTTCTTCTTTTCACCACTGCAGTACTCTTGCCCCAGCAACGAAATCTTCTTCACCTTTTGAATCCGATTGTTCACAAATACATCCTCACCAATTGGGATTCTCCCTACCACACAGAAGGAAACACTTGTACTCCGGTAAGCCTTGACATAGAATTCAAATAACCACTGATAGTGATCATCCTTCATCATAGTCAAAGGCTGCAACTTGATTGGCAATGTGGTCGGGGGCAAGGCCTCACTTCCGGTGACATTGTACCATGGATTTGTAGCAGCTTGCTGGAACATTGCTAAGCTAAATGGCAACGCAGGAGGGTGGCCAGCATCCAAATTCAAGGGAGAAGAGCTGTCGGAATTTGATTTTACTTGGGCAATCCCCTCAAGGAACTCTATCAGTGGTGATGAAAGATTGGTAGAATACGCTCGAAGAAAGCTACCAATGAATGCTTTCTCCAGGAAGACTCTCATGAAGGTGACCTCAAGACCATTGCGATGGTTCGTCTTGATGTTCTTCAACTTGCCGTTGTATCTCTCGAAGCTATACAGCCAGAATGCATATACCGGACCAAAATTAAGCATTGACTCGCGCAAGTGCATATGCAAGTGCATATTTGGCGTGATGCTGCTCTCTCCATAAAGAGTCTCCCACTCTTTTCCGAATTCTCTAAGGAGCTGGTGTGCGCTGTCAATTTCTGAATATGTGACTGAAGGACCGGTCAACTTTTGGCATGTTTTTACAAAGAGAGTCCAGTTTTTGTAGTCGTCTTCAGGCAAAGCGTCTTTTAGTACCACCAACGAATAAATCAGACACCACGATCGCCACTCGTCTGCCTTTGTATACGGGAAACCAGATTCGATCTTTGTTGATAAAACGGCATACCCGGGAGGAACAAGAATACCATTGGCAAGATGTTGCATACGGATGAGAACAGCAGTTGGGAGATACCTCAGGTCTTTCCAAACACTGATCATACGCTTTGCTGTCCCAAGAAACAAATTGTGCATGGGATCAACAATCGTGCATCGGACGGGATCAAAGTAGTATAGGCAATGCAACTCGGAAAAATGGGTGCCATGCTGCTTCTCCAAAACAGCTCTCTCTGCATCAGATTCTGCGCAGAACCACATCTCAGCTTCGGTTGCATTTTCCTCTTTTGTTTGGGAGACCCAGTTCTCATGATTGAATCCAGAATAATTGATCTTACTTGTTCCAGCAACAACAGTGAAATGATGCTTGCATACGTGACAGGCGTTTGTACTTGCAAATCCTGTAAATCCAGCAGTCTTTCTTGCAGCAGGTATGTCGCAAGCAACACACATAAGAGCAGCGCGGATACTAGTACCATTGGGGAACTCTGGAGTTTTCATAGTTATGCTGCCATATAACTCTACCAGCTCGTCTACCAGAGGTTCCAAGAAGTTGTTCATCTGGTCAATCTTTGCTTCCTTTGGACCAGGCATGATGCCAACAAGGATAATGTTTTCTGGCTTCATTCTTTCTTCCCTAGGCAGGTTGTTCATTGACAGGTACAAGGCCCCACTTGTATGGGTACAACCCTCAAACAGTTGAAATCAATCCACATTCAATGTCAACATCAAAGAACGGTTGTGATTCACAAAAGGCTCGTCATCTTCATCAAGGAGCTCAGACCACATTGCACCATCATAGACGTCCAACAAGATACTGTTTACGGTTTCCCTTGATCTCCATTGAACGATTTGATACTCGAATCCAGGTTTGGCAAAATGCTGTGCCAATGCATTCTTGAGCAAGTTATATGGGACAACCATGAGAGGGACGGGTCGATCAGCTTTGGTGTCAGAGAAAAGAGGATTTCCGCAGTATGTTGGTGGTGTGGTTGTGTATTTTTCGAATGTGCAATTTGGTTGGCGATTGCCTGGTAGGTAAATTGCAAAGCACTTGTTGCAGACGGTGTATTTGACAATGCTTTTTGTCATGAAATTGAAGCCAGTCATAGTCTTTAATGCATCAATGGTGAGTGGGAGATCGGTATCCTTATCAAAGGCAACAAGAAGATGGCGGAAGAATTTCAACATAGCAGTTCCACCTGCTTGAACCAAGTAAAACGCCTGAAAAATAATGCCAAATAGAGCCATGAATTGGCTTATTTGAGACATTTCATGAATTTTCAAAGAAGCAACTACAAAGGCAAGTATTTCTGTTAATTATTTGTAACACAATTTATGTATATTTCTTTTTTAAATGTATGCATACCAGAAGCAACCATGTCTTCAAAATCTTCAACACTGGCAACCTCAACTTCGCTCTCATCTTCAGACTCATCACTTGAATCAGGATCGTCATTGTCAGAAGCCAATGATGTTGTCTCGACATCAGACTCTTCGAATTGAAAAATCTCGTCTTCTCTCAAAAAAGGTACACTCTGTACAGTAGTTTCGGCTGATACAATAGAATAATTGTCTTCATCTATAGTAAAACCAGACTATTAGCTATCTAAATTATGATTTATTAAAAAGAAATTTTATACTCACAATCAATCGATGTTTCAGATACATCTACCATCTCAACGTCTGTCTCTTCTTTGACAACTTCTGTATTAACTGATAATTAACAAAAAAAAATATTAGATTACAATTTATCCAGTAATGCGCGTTCTACTCAAATGTCATTTACCTCGATTTTTTGGGCCAATGTCTAATAACTTATCAGCATTATTATGACGCTTAAAGGTCTGTGCATTTTGCAAAATTCCGCTAATTGCATTTTTGGTATATGATGAACATGTACACATAACAGTGTAGGTTTTAGTTGTAGAATTCATAACAGTAAGAATAATATTAATAATAATAAAATAATAAAGAGGTGTATACTATATTTTATTTTCATCTTTTATATATCTCTTATTTTTGTCATTAATAATGAGTTGATATATCTTGTTCACTATGTCATTGACTACATTGAGCTTACCGCCTCTATTAGTAAGAATTACAAATGGATTTTGATACAGCGATCTTTTCTTAAAAAAAGTGTGCCTGATTATTAATGGGGCTTCAATTTAATAATCACTGATATAATGACGTAGTTTCTCTCTTTCGCGTTTTTTTAACATGACATCAATTCTCGCTCATTTTGGCAAGTGGCCTTTTTTGGATTTTCTTTTTCTTGTATTTTTTATGACATCAATTCTTGCTCTTTTTTTCAATTTTTTGATATACTTTCTTATTAAAAATAAGTCATATATCATATATTATTATATTCTAATAAAAATTGGTATTTTTTGCGATGCAATAAAAATATTATTGAGTCTAAATTAGGTGCATCTGTAACAACAAGTTTTTCCTTCCAGAAAAATAATTAAATACTACATTTAACATTTAATATTTTATTTTTATTTTTTATTTTTCTGCCAAGTCAATCGAAACATATATTTTTTAAGACAATTGTGCGATTTATTGCCTAATTAATAAATATTTGTGTTTGTATTTGTGTTTATTTAATATAATCAGAAAAAATTGCGAATTCTCATCTCAAGAAAAAAATATATTGAAAAACGATAGTGTTTGAAATATTTTTCCAAATTTTGCCAAAATTCAAAAAATAAAATTTGACCAAATCCACTCTCCTTTTGCAGTGAGGTGGTGGGCACAGCAACAGTGGTTCTCTGCTTCTTCTTCATTGCAATCCATTCTCCATCTTCTAGAAAGATTGGATGGATCCAGTTCCATCCACAGTCCACGCTCCTGAAGGATCCACTGGACACTAACAAATTGTCTCTTCTCTACCGGCCCCTTTCCTTCCCTTCCAGCTTCAAAAACTGTCTCATAAAACCATTGAGGGATGATACGTCCATCCCTCAAAAATGTTGTATCTTTGAAAATGACCTTGTCATTTTCAGAAACGACCTTTGGCTTTAGAACCATGCGGGTGGCAACCAAGGCATCTGTGGCATATGCTTTGTGGTTGCTGCTTTGGTCGAAAATAAAGACACCAGTGCATCCCTTGTGCAAGCTTTCAAACAGAGGGATAGCATGATTCTTCAGCTGGTCAAGCATGTCTTCTCTTGTCCAGTAACTGTCATATGCTGCCCCAACGTTAAATATTCTGTGGGAGACCCATCCCTTCACTTGCATAATGTCATGACAAGCACACTGAAACTCGCTGACCATCAGAGATCTTCCCTGGCCTTTTTTGCGGATGTGGCTTTCACCTTCCTCAAGCCACATGTCCACCTTTCCATCATGGGCATAAAAGGTGGACTCGTCATGGGTCACCATAACCAGCTTTTTCTGGTTCTTCAAAAGAATAGGGGTCACCTCAATTTCTTCATCTTCCCCAGTAAAGTCTGACATACATTGTTTGTATCCCATCATTCGTGTTGCCCAAGCATGGCGATACAGAACTGTTGTAAATGAGTATTGACTACTGCTGTAATTGAGAATAAGTCTGAAGGAAATAATATAAGGCCTCAGCTATTCCAGTCAAAGGTGTCTACCAATTACTTTATTATATAACACACAGGTTTAGCATGCATGATAGTGATTATATTTCATATGATGATATTACCATAATATGGGATACATCAGTGGATTATTATAAGCATAATTATAACTCATAAACACATTTACTTTCGATGTTAGTACTTCATTGGGACTACACACATTTATATAATTAATCATACATTAATTATCCCAAGATCACGTTGCTCTGATTAAGACTCAGATAGGATCGATTACCTGACCCCAGTCATATAATTTTCCCAATCCAAAATAATATAAATAGCAGTAGTAGTTCAGTGTAGGAACCTGGTCAAACTTTGATACAAAATCTTTTCTCAATAAACAAAACCTACACAAGTTCTCACGAATCTTCGTTCCTAATCTCAAATCTTCAATTCTTCCTCTTGAAAACTTCTTCAACTTCAACTACCACAACAAGAACAACATCTTGGCTTTTGTGTCCATTGTAATATACGTCCTGGTTGTTCTTGCAGTGGACATACCCCCAAGCTCTCATGCATTTTCATGCTGTGCTTATGGCCACGTTGCCTTTTACACCAAGGCATGATGGGAAAAGCATTTCATTGAGATACTTTTTCAAATCCACAACAGTTCGTCTTTCTGCTTTTTGAGCACAAAGCCAAACGATTGCTTTCTTTTAAGGTTTTCATTGTCTACAATTGAAGACTGCTTGGCATGCTTGCCCTGTTGATGTTCAGAAATTTTGCCAAGCTGAAGAAATTCTTTGACCCAACTGCAGACAGCCTCTTCATGGTACTTGGAAGGTGTTGTCCAAAAAATCTCTGCTGCTTTTTCAGATGCCTCGATTTTCTTGCAATTGTTCAAGAGGCGTCAGAAATACTCTTTCACAACAATGTGTTTGCTTACTTCAAACAAAGCAAACTTGCCCAACTCGCTATCTGAACTGACTGGAGGCTTTATCATCTCAGAGATTTTCTCACAAGCTTCACGAATCTCTTCAAGTTCCTCATCTTTTGATTGCTTGTATACAGTTAATTCTTCTGTTACAGGCGAAACTGGTGCAACAGGAACCGAGAAACTGAAATCAGCAAGCGTTCTGACCTTCTTGTCTTTATTTGCCTCAAGTTCTTCTTTCATTTTTCTCTTGTTGCATATAATCAATGATCTCGAGTCTCCTCTGTAGAGTCCATGCAAATTTTTTCCTGCGTCTGGTCTTCATGTCAGAAAGCTATTATAGTACACAGCAATCATCATATCTGTATCTAAAGCCAAGAGCTCCCAGTCATACTCTTCTACAGGTTGATCTTCAACAGGTTCCTTTTTCTCCAGCTTTCTTTTCTGTATCAATAGTAATAATTGGAGACTTGGTGCAGAATTTTCTGCCCCGTCTTCGAGCCATTTTAAAAGTAAGGATAGAGCAAGTATTTTTATGACCGATTTTTAAGAATTTGTTTTGGTAAAAGTAAAAGAAATGTTTTCAGGACAGTCTTGATAGACAGCTGTCACCTCCAAAAACGTGGTTTATACTCCGCATGTTACACATAATTACTAATTTAGAATATATAATTCTCTACATTTGCCTTGATATGCCATCAGAGATGTAGATTCAAGTCTCAATATTTCTCTTCCCCTGCTATTAAATTGAAATACCACACTTTTTCAAAAGTCAAAAACTTTGTCATAAATGTCACTACAAACAAGCTGCTCACACAGTTCTTTTCAGAAACACTTTCTCCGTGTCCATGAGCAACAGTTTTTTTGTATTGACATTTCCAGCAAAGTTTTTGCCTTTTGAAAAAAATCGGAGTCCAATAATTCTTCCTGATTATAAGAAAAGTACACTATATCATGTTGTTTGAAGCACCCACATCAAGGTCATTCTGACTCAATAGTCTCTTGAACGTCAACACTATCTGGTCTCACCATTCACCTCTTAACTGCATGTTAGGCATGTCAACCAAGCTCATGTAGTTGGGTTTAATGACTTTATTCAACAAGATGACAATTGACTGGTGATCCCAAGAAATGTTGACTTGGCTGGGAACTTGTGCTTGAGTACCAGTCTCATCTCAGTCAACAACACTGCCACCACGACCACCATGACCACCGGGACTACCATAGCCACCACGGCCACGATCACCACCTATTTCACTTGAGCCAGGGGTAGTGACAGAGATAGTGACATGCTCTTCCTGAGCAGGGCTCACACAAGTTATTTCCGAATCACCGTCAATGAGAAGGGAAAGGCCGGAATAGGCAATAGCTGCTGTATCATTGACTGATGATACAGCGCTGGTAGGGTTGAGACGGGTTGTTGTTGTTGTTGCTGTTGTTGTTGTTGTTGTTGTTGTTGCTATTGTTGTTGCTGTTGCTGTTGCTGTTGGAAGTATTATCAAACTCCAATACAAGGTAGCCAGGGAGGTTTTCTTGTCTTATAGTTATTTTAAATTGAAGGTTTTTAGTTTGTAGAGCTGGAAAAGGTAAGTAAATACTACTTGGTTTATTTAATCGCTTTTATACATCAAATTTATGTTTTTAAAAACCCAAAATTAAAAAATAAATTAAAATCCAAAAAAGGAGGGCTGGTAGTTTAGATTTCTTTTTTTGTGATCCAGGAAATCTGCCTTGAACATGTTTTCAAAATAAAATTAGTCGGCATCCGTTTCCTTTTTTAGATTTTGTTCTCTTTTGGGATCCAGATTATGTCATAGTATCGATTTGTTTGAAATAAAAAACACTGCTTAAATTCTTGATGCCAATAAATTTATGGGTGGTGGCGAGCACCTAATGCTTATTCTATAAAAAAATCCTGTACTACAAATTTGGGTTTTCTATTCATAGAATTTTACATCCCATCACGTATGGGAATTGGACATTTTTTTACAGTGTTACTCGCTCGCATCTTTCTGTAGTCATATGGATAGCTATAGGTGGTATCATCACTATTGTATTCCCCTACATTAGAAAAGTCTGATTTGCCTGAACCAAAAGAGCTATCATTTGATAGATAGTCACTTCTTTCAGATCAAGAATCATCAAAATACTTGTCCAAAGAGTCTTCATTGGCTTCTGCAGTCCCCAAAATGGCATGTACCCAATTTACAACGACTTCTGGTTTCTTGGTTTTACGTGCATACAGATATCTTAATCCATCGCAAATATTGTGATCACTGGATTTGTCTAAAGAAATCTAATCCACTAAGGTAAGATCAGCATCTATTTCTTGAAATCACTTCCAAATATCTTTTTTGGCTAGATTTATTGGAAGTTTTCTTGGCGGATTTCTTGTACATTTGATTTTCTTTATGACTACGCCCAAACTGTTACCAACTTGTTGGATGTCTTCTATTGGTACCTGGAAAATCGATTGTTCTGGAAACTCAGGTTCTTCTTTGGTGCGTTTATGTTCTCTTTTCCCTGGTTTTTCAGATAATGATCTCTTCTCTGCATTAAAAACTTGAACGGCCTCCACAAGATTTACAGGACTTGGTCTTAATTGAGTATGAGGAATTAAATTTTGAGAATCAGCAGTACTCTCTTTTACTGCTGGTTGTTGTGGATACTGGGGAGACATATAATCTTCTGAACTACATGTCCAGCATTTTCCATGGGGTTTATTAGTCGATGGCAGAAAAACAGACTTGGATTTGGGTTGTTCAATTATATGAACCTTTAGAGTATGGAATTTTTTGACTAAATCACGGAGAGTCAAGGCCTTGCTAATGGTACTGCAACCAGATTTGGAACCAACGCTTGATCTTTCAACTTAATCATTACGATATTTGGTTTTTATCAGCTCCAGTTTTTGTGCTTTTTCTGCTACGGTCTTAAAATCAACAGTTAAATTGTCATGTTGCTCCAACTCATAAGCAATTTGAGGATCAATTGCCTGCAAAAAACTATGGACCTTGAAAGATTCACTGTCTGCCTTGACAGATGAGAATAGTTTCCGAAGCTTATAGACAACATTGTCTATAGTTTCTCCAGGTTGTTGACAGGTGTTCTGGATTTCTTTTCAGCAAACATTATCCAATTGACAAGAAGCAAACTGATTCATAAAGGCATCAGTAAATTCCTTCCATATATGCGTTTGGTCTTCGATGCTGTTCCACCAAACTTTGGCTAGTCCATAAAGGTAAGAGGTAGCAACCACAAAAGCATCTTTGTCTGACATATTGACTGCTTTACAGACACAGTCTACACTCTTAAGCCAAGTGGTAGGCTTTTTACCTTGTTTGTTACCATAAAATGGCTTTGGATTTGCAATGAACTTGGTAAGGCTGATTTGATTCTTTTTGTCTTCAGGCATTGTTGAAAAAATAAAATAAATGGCATGACAGACTAATAGGGATACAATAAATTGTTCAAATCTCACTCTCTTCACTAATTTGATGTATGTGGTGCTTGTATTTGTGGTAAATGTTGACAGATAATATATTATTACTGTTTTTCAAGGTTTGTATGGGTTTGTAGATGTGAAATAATGTCTCTTTTCCAAAAGAAAGAAAAACACAAACTCAAAAGAGAATGTAGAATTAAAGATAATAAAATTAATAAAAGAAAAATAAGAGAATAACAGTATTATTGATCAATCTTGATAGACTTGACTCAATGTACTTGGATAATCAAACAAGTAAAATATCAACAGCATTAAATATTAAGAGAACTTGTTGTCAGAATAAGACAAAAAAAATCAATGTTTATTAAATACAAGTATTGCAATATTTATAGTTTTGTAATTGACTTATTAAATAATTAAATAAATAAAATTATAAAAAAAATTATAATAAAAGTTATATAATTGACAATCTATTAAATGTGTTTTGTTCTTTACTATCATTAAGTACAAATAAAATAATATAATTATTAAGTCATAATAATGAAGATAATTATGCTTGTAAGAATATATAACAATAATAAAAATAATATTAATTCTAAGTTGATTCTTTCAGTTAAATATAGTGAGAAAATAAGATACAATATGTGTTTGCCTGAAGTTATTGTTGACAGAATGATGTCTTTTCATTGTACTTATTAGTGTTTTGCTCTATGAATAGAAAAATTGCTTTCTATTCAGTCTCAACCACTGTCGAAAAATCCAAAAAAATAATAATAAAATATAATTTTCTAGAATTACTGTGGTATACACACCACAAATGAGTGAAAAACAGACCCCACAACCAAACACTAGTTCCTTCTTGCTAATGAATCTGGCAAGTTAACAATCTCCAGAACTGTTACACACCAGACACACGTATACTACACACTCATACAGTGTAAATCAACCATTGCATAACAAGGATTTGAATTATAGGGATTTGAATAGTAGCAGATATAAACAATATTATTTTTGTCTCTTTAATAAATAATACTCTCACAGTATCTACTTTTCCCATTATTGAGATACTAACCCATAAACAATCCCAAATACCTCAATTACAAAGAATTCTATTGTCACCGCACTGCCGGACAACCGAAATTTGTAAACAGCTTCAATATTATACAATACCTTGTGTCCATGTATATATGGGGATGTGATGTAGTGGTATCATATTCGCTTTGCATGCGAAAGGCCCCGGGTTCGAACCCCGGCGTCTCCATCTTTTGTCGTTTCCGATCTGGGTTGGTCTTCCTTTTACTGTCGGACATTATTTTGATGAATCCGTAAAATCTGAAGATAGTTAACCGCAGTACTTCTTTATGCGCAGTATTAGTTTAGAAAACTATATAAGACAATTCAATTCATATCAATAAAAAGTATCTTTTATCCTCTCTTTGATTTTACGTATACTCCTTGATCCCCAGTGGGTTTGACCTTTTGACTTTGTTATAGTAAAAGGAAGACCAACCCAGATCGGGAACAACATTACTATAACAGTTGTCATTCCTGATCTAGGCTATCTTCCAATTCACTGTAAACGTAACCGAATTGGTCAAGCTTTAATAACACAGGAGTGAGCAAATAAGAGAGAGGATAAAAAGATGATTTTTATTATTTGATTTGGGTTATCTTATATAGTTTTTGAAATGATTATTCATCTTTGACTACACTCAAGTAGTATCTAGTAATATTACAAATTATTATAAACTGATTACAAATTTCTAAAATTATAAACTAATAAATAATCATTCTAATATCAAGTCTCGATCTGGTATTTCTTTTCTAGCACTTGTAACTAAGTCGCAGAATCAATACCACTGGGGATCATCAAGTTTATGAATAGTTTTTAGATAAGAATAAAGATGCCTTTTATTAAATGTATTTCTTGACTATTTATACAAAATGATAATTGATTTCTGGCTAAAAGAATAGCTACAATAATATGTCTTAGATGCTTGTTGTCCAGTAATATCTTCTACAAGTATATTCACCATCTTAAACATCTAAAACATATATGAAAGACCAATTGGCAAAGTCAAGATCTTTTACCCTAAAAAGTCAACCATTACTGGTTGCTTGTAAATCCCGATTTTGGTTACTGATGTCAACTCTGACACTAATTCCTGCTTTTTTTGAAATAACAAGTCACTAGAACTTGTATCACAAAAATTAAGCACGACAAAGTCAAAAGGTCAAACCTACTGGGGATCAAGGAGTATAAATAAAATCAAAGAGAAAATAAAAGATACTTTTTATTAGTATGAATTGAATTGTCTTATATAGTTTTCTAAACTAATACTGAGCATTATCTGCAGTAGCTATTATATTATATTTAAATAAAAGAAGAGTCATTATACTGTGGTTAATCATCTTCAGATTTTACAGATTCATCAAAATGTCGGACATTATTTTGATGAATCCGAGAAATCGGGATAATTGACCGCAGCAGTTCTGTATGTCAAAGATACCTCATAGATAACGAACCGCAGTAATGTCTTGTAAAGATTAACCACAGTAACATCTTCTGAGCATCAACCGTAGTAAAAGGACTTCTCTTGTAATTAAATATAGTATAATAGTTTACTGCGGATAATGCGCAGTATTAGTTTAGAAAACTATATAAGACAATTCAATTCCTATCAATAAAAAGCACCTTTTATCCTCTCTTCAATTTTACATATACTCTCCGATCCCCAGTGGGTTTGACCTTTTGACTTTGCTATAGTAAAAGGAAGACCATCCCAGATCAGGAACGACAAAAATAATACCCAACAATTGATTAAAAAATAATTGATCACTGCATTTACATATTGAAACGCTCCCGGGTGGGCTCGAACCACCAACCTCCTGATTAACAGTCAGACGCGCTGCCAATTGCGCCACGGAAGCTAACTTGCTTTTCATATGTGGTGTAATAATTTTATCAGCCGTAGTTTAAAAACCAAATTCTACCAAGTTCAGACTTTCTTTTGAAAACCTCTCTTTATTTTTCTTCCAAATTTTAATTTTAATTTTAATTTCTTTCTTCCATTTTCACAAAATCGCCTTTTTCCAAAAACCAATTTTCTGAAAATTAAAGTCTTTTCCTTTTATTTTTCCCAAAATTATTTTCTCCCTTTTCTTTTTATTTTATTCCTGCGCACTAAATGTGATGCTTCCTCTCAAACACTACTTTACCAAAATTGTTAACTGAATAGTTTTCCCTTTATTTATAACATACTTCTCTCTGATATTTTTCTTTTCTTGTAGTTATATATTCTAACTTTATCTATTTCTTCTTTCATGATGAAATATTTATATAGTTATTTTTCTTTATATTTTTATTTATGATTATCTCATCAAGTTTTATCTAACCTATTTTTGCCATATATTTTATCCATAAAATGATATAAATATCTCTCTAAAATCAATCAATAAAAAACTGTCAAATTTTTCTGATACAAGTTTTCTTCAAGACACTGTCTATTATCTCTGATCTCTCTTATAAAATTTCTTCCGTTTTATTTTATTTTTCTGTCAAGTCTTTGTGAAACATTGACCATCCTCTTTTATTTTATTACTTTGTCCCAATTTCTTTTTTTTAATTATCTCTTAGTAAATTTATCATAGTAAATTTCCCTTTAGCTAAATCCTTTACTCTATTAAACATTTCTTTCTTATAGTTAACTCTTTAGAATTAGTATTATTTACTTCACTTCTTTTAGTTTAACTATCTCTCTAATCATTCAAATTATTTACACTCTTACTTTAGTGTTACTTTCCCTTTTTATTTCTTTAACTAGTCTATTTGGTAACCAAGAAATTATTTTATCATCTCAATTTATCTGATATCAAACCCAAACCCTCAATTCCTCTTTTAAATTCCTCTTCTTATATACAATTATCTTTTTTTGTATATCTTCTACACACAACAACATACCATATGCGACATTTTGACACAAGTTGTACACAAATTTCAAGCATAAATTAAAAACATATATTTGTTTGATGTGACATCAACTTATAGACAGACTATTAAGTTATGGATAGTGCAAAGTCGTGACTCTATCTCCAGACATGACAAAATCCAATTTCTTGGGTTTATTTTCTCTCTCTCTTTTTTTTTCTTGCCATTGACATTTAAATTCCTACTGAACTTTAAATGCTTTTCCCCTTTTTTATTTTTTCTTAATTTTTATTTCTTTTTTAGCTTGCTTCCCTTTGCATTGCACTTGTTTCTTTATATTTTTTGATATTACTTCTTTAGTATGCTTTCCAAGAGTTCATATTTTTTAGTAGTTTAATTATTTTTATTTTTGATTATTTTCTTTTGTAATTATGCCTGAAGACCTGTACACTCTTCTAAATAATCATCATTTAGCATAAGATATATCTAGATTGTCATCTTGTACACAGTTGTCAATTAGTATATAAGAGATATATTTTTATCCCGATAAAATTTATTCAGCTTTTCTCTATATTTCTTTTGAAAATCGTCACTGAGCTTGAGCTATTGTCCTGTGAGAAATACTAAGTTGTATACTGTTAGGATCTACAAGTACTGTCTCACTGTTTGTCTGCTTGTCTGTTTGTTTGCCTGTCCATTTGTCCATTTGTGTATCTGTCTGTTATCTATCTATCTGTTTCCATCTATTTCAAGTCCCGTTCATTGTCTAAATTCCTTCTTGTTGGATTGTTCTGAGCAAAATCACAAGAATATAACTATACGTATAATATATATTATATTTCTGATCAGTTGCACCACATGTCATAACTCAACACATGTCATACAGAGACGCAACACATTATGACTTTGATTGGCCACAGTACCAGTTATTTTTTCAATTGATTTCAATCTTTTTAATCAGTCACTAAGTCTTAAACCCCCAATTATAATTTTTTTTTAATTTTTAATTTTAATTTTATTTATATTATTTTTATTTCTTATTCTAAGAATTGACTTCTCGTTATTTCTATTTTTATTCTTCCAATTTTCTGAAAGCAAATTTTGCTTCCCTTTATTCTTTACCAAAATTAGTTTCTCCCTCTTTTATTTTTCTTACTTTTCTTATGCACTAAATGTAATATTTTCCTCTCAACACTACTTTACCAAAATTGTTAACTGTAGTTTTTCTAAATTTTTATAACATACTTCTTTCCAATTTTTTCATTCTCTATAGTTATGTATTATAACTTCATTTATTTTTCTTTCATGACAAATTTTGATTACAACTATTTTTTTATCACAATTATCTCTTAGACATCAGTGCAATTTATTTTTGTTATAAATATTATTTAAAAAGTAGTATAAATAACCCTTCAAAATCAATTAAGAAATAATTGTTGAATTTTTCTGATACAAAAGTTTTCTCTAAAGATACTATCTACTTTTCCTGATCTCTTTTGTAAATTTTCTTGCATTTACTATTTTTCTTTGTCAAGTCTTTGTAGAAGATTAGATATTTTCTATTACTTTTCTATTACTTTTCTATTATTTTTCTTTTTTACGAATTTTACAATTTTTATTTTGTTGAATTTTCCCTTTATTTTTTATTTTAAAATTACTTTAGAAATTCTCTTAGTTAATTCTTAATATTTTATTCTCTAAATACTTTTCTTATCTTAGTTTATTTTATATTAGCATTATTCATTTCCTTTTGCTAGTTCTAGATATTCTTTCCCTTCTGAAATTTCTTTTATTTTTCCCTTCTAGAAGTAGTTTCTTTTATTTATTTTTACATTTTTAGACAATTGTTTCCCAATTTAAATAACCCTATCTCATTACGGAATTTAATTCTTATTATTACCCTTATCTTACTTTTCTTGTATATACGATACATATAACAAATTACCACACCCATCAACAGTTGACATGGCATGTTGTAAAATAGTCAGTATGCAACAAAATTTCAGTTGTCTAGCAGTGCGTTGACGTTACAGAATTCTTTGTAATTCTAAAAAAATTATATTCTATTATTTTTTTATTTTCCAATGGCGGCCGAGGCTGGATAGAAAGCAATTTTTTTATTCAAAGAGCAAAACATCAATACATATAACAAAAAGACATCATCCTGTCAAAAACAACTTTATATAACAACACATCTTATCTTATTTTTTTACTATATTTAACTGAACGAATCAATTTGAAATTAATGTTATTTTTATTATATTTTCTTTACAAGCATAATTATTTTCATGATTATGACTTAATAATTATTTTATTTTATTTATACTTAATGATAGTAAAGAATAAATCTCATTTAAAAGATTGTCAATTATATAACTTTTTATTATATTCTTTAATAATTTTATTTATTTAATTATTTACACTGGAAAAATTGCTCAGTTTACTCTATGTAAAAGAAGGCAGAATACTGATATAAAGAATTAAATTCCCCTGTAACTTAAACAATCTTGAGTCTAGTGCGCATTTATTCTAAATAATGAATACAATAGTTCTGTGGAAAGAAATCTGTTCATAAAGTCATAAAATCCTACCTTATAATACCAGCTCAGAAACTTAAA